GGTTAAAATGGTTAGTATTATCGAGTCAAACTTTCAAACATCAACAATTATCGCCATTCAGTCGCTCAATCTTGCCCAATTGTGGAATATGATGGAGAGAGAGAATGTTGTTGGGTTGTCACTATTTACCACAGACACAAAGTTAAAATTGGCTATTTCATAAAGAATTAATGAAAACCAAAAATAGCTTTTGGTCTTAATTTAAGGTTAGGTATAAGGTCAGTGTGGCTACGGTTAGGGTTAATATTAGGGTTAGGTTTAAAATCAGATTTTATGAAGAGAAATGAAAGAAATAGTCTAGGGTTCAGCCATAATCATAATTATGACTTTGTGGATGTGGTAACTAGTGACGACCAGCATGTTTGGGGGGGTGGGAGGGGGGTGGGAGGGGGGGCGGGGATCTTCTGAAGAGGGCGGAGAAAACTCCTAAACTGCTCTTGATTGGATAGACTCGTGTGACCACGCCCATGGGCGGTCTCTTGGTCTATCTTCAAGCGACGCGTTCAACCAGTGTCGAATCTAGTGGGTCTATTTCTGCTGGAGCGACACGTTCAATTACGAAGAAAAAGCCAAGGAAAAACTCACATTTTGCCATTGGATCCATACCACTGCCCGGGAGCTGGATTTCTTTTTTCTTCCATTTGAAATATCGTTTGGAAAAAACACCGAATAACGATGGGTTCCCAAGCGTCCAAGGGAGGGGTAGCTGTGGAGGCGAATGCTGCCGATACCGCTACGGTGAAAACTAACGGACAGGTATGTCACTCTCTCTCATCCCTGGACCACACGACACACCCTTTACCCCAACTAACTAAAAGTAGCTTAGAAAGGATGTTCTGTTTTTATTATTAAGTTGCAATTAATTTGAAGCTGAGGTTTGTGTGTTTAGATTTTTTTGGGGGGGGATAAATGTGCATCTTTGCTTCAGTCAGAGTGGTAAGTGCATAGTTGGTTGGCTAAGCTAACATGGTCTCCAGTGATGGATAGCTACGGACACTTGATTCAGACGCGGGAGGATCAAATCCGAACGGGTTTGCTGCTAATGCCACGATCTGCTGTTTGACTTTTTTTTTTTTTTGGGGGGGGGGGGGGGGGGGGTGAAATAAAAAAAACGAGTTAGTTAGCTATTCAGGTTTTGGACCGAGAACATGGACCACAGGTAGCTAGCTAATCGAGGTTCTAGCTAGCCGGACTAATTAGCTCGTATACAGTTCCATATCAAATGCCATGAGGGGGGTTTGGAAAGGCAACCTACCCCTCATGCATAAAATATGAGAGCCAATTGGTGAATTACGGATTGAAAAGGAGGGTTTTAACAGTGGATGTCATTTTAATTTATGCAGCCCCCTCGGAACCGGCGAGTCTAGACATGTCTCGATCAGTGACTGTAAACGTTATTTTATAGATAAACATACACAATCGACATAAAATCACATTTTCACCTCGCAAAATTACTATACAATCAGTATTGTGTCAATTAATATATATATATTTTTTTTCATCGATTGGTTCAAGTCTTTGTTGAAAGAGATGCCCCCGTCTGTGTGGTGTCTAGCGGGAGAGCGATGGACCACATGCTCGGTCTGCGTGTCGCTGTCGCCGCCTGTCGTTTTCTGGTGGTACTACAAGGCGTCGCCTTTTGAGCAACACTGTGGTTTATTGATGAGCACGACGTTTTGATGAAACATCGTTATGTATCTAAATGTTATGATGGTTGTTTTTGTTACATTGTAAAGTTCTCATGTAAATTATATTTTCTTTATTGATTGAATTGTATTTTTTAGAACCATATATCTAATTTGGTTCCTTCATCTTTCACTCCTCTAGGAGAACGGCCATGTCAAGTCCAATGGTGACGCCACAGACACGGCCACTCCCAACGGTTCTGCGGACGCCAAGGAGCCTGAAGCGGGTGCTGGAGGGGACGCCATCGAGCCAGCACCCGCCGCTGATGGGGAGGCCGCCAAACCAGAAGGTGAGACCGCCGCCAAGGATATCTCCAAGAAGAAGAAGAAGTTCTTCCTGAAGAAATCTTTCAACTTCATGGGCCTGAAACTGAAGAAGACCAAGAAGGAGGAGGTGAAGGAGGAGGCGGCCGCTCCCGCTGAGGAGAAACCCGCGGAGAACGGAGCCGCTGTGGCCACGGAGGAGAAGAAAGAAGGGGAGGTGAAGGAGGAGGTCGTGGCGGCTGCTGCAGCCCCTAAGGCCGAGGAGGTGCAGGCTAAAGCAGAGGAGGCGCCTAAGGAGGAGGTGAAGGAGGCGGCTGCTCCTGCCCCAGAGCCCACCAAACCAACAGAGGAAACCAGCTCGACCCCTGCGGCAGTAGCCCCCTCCCAACAGAAAGCAGAGTGATTGTATCTTTACCCACAACAAAGGACTGTGTGAACTGTTTTTCAAGAGAGAGAGAGAGAGAAAATAGTTATAAATATATATATTTCTATATATATGTGTATATGTATACATATGTATGGCTATATGTATATGTAAATATATACACATTTATGTGAGAGACTCCATTGTGTCACTTTAGTCATGGTAACAAGATGACAGACTAGAATCACTATTTCACATCCCTGGTTACGGCGAGACATCTGAACCCGGTAGTATTATTTGCTGGTTGCTATGGGACAATGGGATTTATTGGACGACAGAGTGGAAGACACAGTTATGGATGGGAGTCGAGTTGACGCGTCTTTTCCCAAAACACCCAACTCAAAAAGATGCATCAACGCGTAAGAACGAACTAGACAGGACAGAACACCAACCAACCACCACATGAAATGACTATTAATTTTTTTTTTAAACAAGAAGAAATCAGAATTTGAAAATAAGAGACTTGCCAACTTTCTTAATTCCTATATTTTAACCCAGATTTGAATTATTTTGTGGTGTACACTAGAGAACCATTTTAAAGATTCAGAGAAACTGTGTTTTGTTTGTTTTTAAAGAAGAAAAATAAGAAGCAATTTTAGATTTGTATCTTGGCTATAGAAAAAAAAAAAAAACTATTGAGTTTAACTATGTTCACTGTTGCAATTTTAAAACGAAGCAGAGTTGTTGTTCTGTCTGTGGTGTGTAAGCCTGAATCTGCTTTATGGTCTCTGTAAATACATTGGACTGATACTGTTCTTTTTATTTTGCTAATGTTGACAGATGTTATGGTTTTATTGTAAAGTTGATAATGGTAAATAAATGTTGGTTACCAATACCTGTTGTATGGAAATTGTATTTTTTTAAGGTGGCAAGGGTGATTAGTAGTACAGTGCAAAACAACATGAGACTCGACTGTTTATAGTGGTCAGACACACTGATCTTAACTACAAGGTGCTTTCTAAGAATGAATAAAGTTACCTGACGTTTTCTGACAGGATTGTGATTCTAATAAGAGCACGTTGGTGTGTTTTTAGACTTTTCATAGTCCACAATCCCAAGACTACTGTCCAGCTGAGAGAAAGCCTCACATTCTTGAAACGCCTGACCAATTACATGTGTAAATCAATCACACATGGCAGAAAACCACTGGTGTGTGTGTCCCTCACAACCATATCACGGTACATAGATATTCGCAACTGTTACAACGAGTGGACAATACCTAATGTGTCATCATTTTGGACAATGGCTACTAGGTTGCACAGAGAAGACGTGATGGAGTGGAGAGATTCAACTGCAGACCGAGATGCACCACCCCACGATGCTCTACGTTCTAGGACTGTGGGAGAATCTCAATTGAGTTTCCTTGACTCATCGCCTCCTCAAAACACATTGGATGAGATCGGTTCCTCCCCTCTTGATCTTCTCCTCCAATGGGGTTTTGAGGAGGAGAGGACGCGAGGAGTCAAGGGCACAATTGATATTCTCCCTATGTACCATGATCTCTCCTTCCTCCCAAAGTGTGCACTTGTTCCCTTCACTGAGTTGAAGGGAAATGATTGGTATAAGAAACAGGGTGGGACACTCCCACTAACCCTCCACCAATCCAATGCCTTTAGATTTGTCAGAAGTAGTGAACAGAACCAAGTGCACACGCCTGGAGACGGGTAGAGAATTGGAAGGCAGCCAATGACCCTTGCTTGCACCCACATTATCTGTGTGACCTCTGTAGCCCCTCTTTAGTGACAGCGCCTCTCAAGAGGTCATTACTCAGGGATTATATACTTCCTCAAATATTTGTAACATTTAGCCCGTCTAAGAAATAACTTCTCAACATTGTTTATTTTTCCTCAATAAAGTTGAATTCAATTCAAATCAGTAATCCTGATCAGGGTTGGTTGTAGTGTGAGGGAGTGCATCCCAAATGACACCGTATTCCCTATTTAGGGCACTAATTTAGACCAGAGCCCTTTCTATTTAGTTTTACTAGTGTTTAAGAGCAGTTGGAGGCTATTCCCTATGGAGAACAGGCTGACATTTGGGATATTCCCACTGACCTAGTTCACATGGTGACGTGATGAGTTCAGATCAGAGTTAATATCAGTCCTCACAGCCTTCAAACAACGATTCGTTATTCAAAACACGGATGTCGCTCCACATGTGTGTTGCTTCAGGCATTTGTCACGGATTGCAGAGGCATTTGTTGAACTCACAAAGCATATTCATCTAATCACTGAACAGACAATGTGTGAATACGTGAATGAGGTCGTTATAAGCTTACTACTGTCAATGAGGTCGTTGGCTACACTATATATACAAAAGTATGTGGACACCCCTTCAAATTAGTTGATTTGGTTATTTCAGCCACACCCGTTGCTGACCAGTGTACAAAAATCAAGCACACAGCCATGCAATCTCCATAGACAAACATTGGTAGTAGAATGGCCTTACTGAATAGCTCAGTGACTTTCAACGTGGCACCGTCATAGGATGCCACCTTCCAACAAGTCAGTTCGTCGCAAAGTGGTAAGCAACACAAGCTCACAGAACGGGACCAACGAGTGCTGAAGTCTGTCCTCGGTTGCAACGCTCACTACCGAGTCCCAAACTGCCTCTGGAAGCAACATCAGCACAACAACTGTTTGTTGGGAGCTTCATGAAATGGGTTTCCATGGCTGAGCAGCCGCACACAAGCCTAAGATCACCATGCGCAATACCAAGTGTCGGCTGGAGTGGTGTAAAGCTCGCCGCCATTGGACTCTGGAGCAGTGGAAACACGTCCTCTGGAGTGATGAATCACGCTTCACATCTGGCAGTCCGACGGACGAATCTGGGTTTGGCAGATGTCAGGAGAATGCTACCCCAGTGCACAAAGCGAGGACCATACAGAAATGGTTTATCGAGATCGGTGTGGAAGAACTTGACTGACCTGCACAGAGCCTATGACCTCAACCCCATCGAACACCTATGGGATGAATTGGAACTCAGACTGCGAGCCAGGCCTAATCGCCCAACATCAGTGCCCGACCTCACTAATGCTCTTGCGGCTGAATGGAAAGCAAGTCCCCGCAGCGATGTTCCAACATCTAGTGGAAAGCCTTCCCAGAAGAGTGGAGGCTGTTATAGCAGCAAAGGGAGGGGGGGACCAACTCCATGTTAATACCCATGATTTTGGAATGAGATGTTCGACGAGCAGGTGTCCACATACTTTTGGTCATGTGGTGTATGGGTTATTCAAATGACAACTGGACTTGTGTTTGTCATCCTGCACTTTATATGAATGAATGCTTGAGGTGGATTGATACTATAAAATTCATCAGCTTTGGAGAGTTTAAAACATGTATTGTTACTACGGTGTTACAACTCGTTGTGTGTCGTCATGAAATTAAATCGAAATTCAAAAACTGCCCTGTGTTCCTAATTCGATTTAGGATCTGAGACATGTATTGTTCTGTGCTGCTGCCAGATAACACATGTGAAAACATTTCAACATAATACGTACGGTGCATTCGGAAAGTATTCAGACCCTTTTGACTTTTTCCACATTTTGTTACGTTACAGCCTTATTCTAAAATGGATTAAATAGTTTTTTCCCCCCTCATCAATCTACACACAATACCCCATAATGACAAAGCAAAAAACAGCTTTTTAGAAATGTTTGCAAATGTATAACAAAATAAAAAACGTAAATATCGCATTTACATAAGTATTCAGACCCTTTACTCAGCACTTTGTTGAAGCACCTTCAGCAGCGATTACAGCCTCAAGTCTTCTTGGGTATGACGCTACAAGCTTGGCACACCTGTATTTGGAGAGTTTCTCCCATTTTTCTCTGCATTCTCTATAGCTCTGTCAGGTTGGATGGGGAGCGTCGCTGCACAGCTATTTTCAGGTCTCTCCAGAGATGTTCGATCGGGTTCAAGTCTGGGCTCTGGCTGGGCCACTCAAGGGCACTCAGAGACTTGTCCCGAAGCCACTCCTGCGTTGTCTTGGCTGCCTTTTGGCAAACTCCAAGCGGGCTGTCATGTGCCTTTTACTGAGGAGTGGCTTCTACCATAAATGCCTGATTGGTGTAGTGCTGCAGAGATGGTTGTCCTTCTGGAAGGTTCTCCATTTCCACAGAGGAACTCTGGAGCTCTGTCAGAGTGACCATCGGGTTCTTGGTCACCTCCCTGACCAAGGCCCTTCTCCCCCGATTTCTCAGTTTGGCCGGGCGGCCAGCTCTAGGAAGAGTCTTGGTGGTTCCAAACTTCTTCCATTTAAGAATGATGGAGGCCACTTTCTTCTTGGGGACCTTCAATGCTGCAGACATTTTTTGGTACCCTTCCCCAGATCCGTGCCTCGACACAATCCTGTCTCGGAGCTCTACGGACAATTCCTTCGACCTCATGGCTGGTTTTTGCTCTGACATGCCCTGTCAACTGTGGGACCTTATATAGATAGGTGTGTCCTTCCAAATCATGTCCAATCAATTCCACAGGTGGAATCCAATCAAGTTGTAGAACGATCTCAAGGATGATCAATGGAAACAGGATGCATCTGAGCTCAATTTCGAGTCTCATAGCAAAGGGTCTGAATACTTATGTAAATAAGGTATTTCTGTTTTTTCTTTTTAATATATATACAAACCTGTTTTCGCTTAGTCATTATGGGGTATTGTGTGTAGATTGATGAGGAAAAAATTAATTGAATCAATTTTAGAATAAATCTGTAACGTAACACAATGTGGGAAAAGTCAAGGGGTCTGATTACTTTCCGAAGGCACTGTAGATCATCTTTGACTTCAGAGATTTACATTTACGTCATTTAGCAGACGCTCTTATCCAGAGCGACTTACAGTTAGTGAATACATATATATTATTTTTTTTACTCGCCCCCCGTGGGAATCGAACCCACAACCCTGGCGTTGCAAACACCATGCTCTATCAACTGAGCTACATCCCATTCCCTCCCCTACCCTGGACGATGCTGGGCCAATTGTGCGCCGCCCATGAGTCTCCCGGTCGCGGCCGGCTGCGACAGAGCCTGGATTCGAACCAGGATCTCTAGTGGCACAGTTAGCACTGCGATGCAGTGCCTTAGACCACTGCGCCACTCAGGAGTGCGATCTCCTCGTCCAAGTCTGTTTTTAGCTGAGATATGTTCTTCAGTTCAGAGATCTCCTCGTCCAAGTCTGTTTTTAGCTGAGATATGTTCTTCAGTTCAGAGATCTCCTCGTCCAAGTCTGTTTTTAGCTGAGATATGTTCTTCAGTTCAGAGATCTCCTCGTCCAAGTCTGTTTTTAGCTGAGATATGTTCTTCAGTTCAGAGATCTCCTCGTCCAAGTCTGTTTTTTAGCTGAGATATGTTCTTTCAGTTTCGAAGATCTCCTGCTTCCACCCTCACGAAGGATCTTCTTCAGTTCATCAGAATATTCTTCTTCGTCTTTAACTTCTGTCATTTTCATATTTTTAGGTACAGGCTCCCTCTCCTCCCTCTCCTCCCCTCTCCTCCCTCTCTCCTCCTCCTCTATCCTCTCTCTCTCCTCCTCTCTCTCCTCCCTCTCCTCCCTCTCTCTCCTCCCTCTCCTCCCTCTCTCCTCCTCTCTCGTCTCCTCTCTCCGTCCTCCCTCTCCTCCCTTTCTCCTCCCCTCTCTCCTCCTCTGTCCTCCCTCTCCTCCCTCTCTCTCCTCCTCGTTTCAAAACCCTGCCAACCGGGCAATTTTGGCCACCCCTCCCTCCCCTCTCCCCCCTTCCCCTCCCCTTCCTCTTTTCCCTCTCTTCCTTTCCTTCTTTCCCTTTCCCTTCTCTCCTCCCTCTTTTTTTTTCCCCCTTCTTCTCCCTCTCCTCTTCCCTTTTTTCCCCTCTCCTCCCCCCTTTTCCCCCCTTTTTCTCCTCCTCCTCTCCCCCTTTCTTCCCTCTCCTCCTCCCTCTTTGCCCTTTTTCCCCCCCCTTCCCCCCTCTTCCCCCCCCCCCTTTTCCTCCCTCTCCCCCGGGTCTTCCCTTCTTCCTTCTTCTCTCCTCTTTCCCCCCCTCTTTTTTCCCCCCTTTTTTGTTTCCCCCCCCTCTCCTCCCTTCCTCCCCCGCGGCCCCCCTCTCTCCTCTTCCTCCCTTCTCCCTCCTCCCTCCCCTTTCCCCTCTCTCCCCCCCTCCCTCCTCCTTCCTCCTCTCCTCCCTCTTTTCCCTCTCCTCCCTCTCCTCCCCCCCCCTTTTCTCCTCCCTCCTTCCCTCCTCTCCTCCCTCTCCTCCCCCCCCCTCCTCCCCCCCTTTTCCCTCCCTCTCCTCCCTCTCCCCCCTCCCCCCTCCCCTTCCTCCCTCTCCTCCTTCCTCCCTCTTCCCCCCCCCCTTCTCTCCCTTTCTCCTCCCTCTCTCTCCTCCCTCCCTCCCCTCCTCCCCCCCCCCTCCCCCTTTTCCTCCCTTCCTCCTCCCTCTCCTCCTCTTCCCCCCTTTCTCCTCCCTCCCCTCCTCCCTCTTCCCCCCTTTCCCCCTCCCCCCTCTCCCCCCTTTCCTTTTTCCCTCCCCCCCTCTCTCCCTCCCCCCCCCCCTCCCTTCCTCCCTCTCCCCCTTTCCCTCCTCTCCTCCCCCCTCCCTCACCCTTCCTCCTCTCCTCCTCTCCCTCCCCTTCCTCCTCCCTCTTCCCCTCCTCTTTTTCCCCTCCCTTTCCTCCCTCTCCTCCTCCCTCTCCCCCCTCTCTCCTCCCTTTCCCCTTTTTTCCTCCTTCCCTCCTCCCTCTCCTCCCTCTTTCCTCTCCTCCCTCCTCCCTCTCCCCCTCTCTTCCTCCCTCTCCTCCCTGTCACTTCCTTCCTCCCTTCTCCTCCCTCCCCCTCCTCCCCTTCTCCCCCCCCCTCCCTCATCTCCTCCCCTTGCCCTCCCCCCCTCCCTCCTCCCTCCTCCCTCCCCCCCCTTCCTCCTCTCCTCCCCCCCGCCTCCTCCCTCTCCTCCCCCCCTCTCCTCCTCCCTTCCTCCCTCTCCTCCTCCTTCCTCTCCCTCCCTCCTCCTTCCTCTCCTCCCTCTTTCCTCTCCTCCCCTCTCCCCCCTCTCTCCCCCCTTTTCCCTCTCTTTTCCCCCCCAAACTCCTCCCCTCCCTTCCCTTCCCCCCTCCTTTCCTCCTCCCCCTCCCCCTCCCTCCCCTCCTCCTCCTCCTCCCTCTCCCCCCTCCCTCTCCTCCCCCCCTCATTTTTCCCCCTCTCCTCTCCCTCTGTCCCCTCTCTCCCCCCCTCCCTCCCTTTCCCCCTCCCCCTCTCCTCCCCCCCTTTCCCCCCCTCCCCTCTCCTCCCTCTTCCCCCTTCTCCTCCTTCTCCTCCCTCCTCCTCCCTTCTCCCTTCTCCCCCCTCCCCCGTCTCCTCCCTTTCCTTCCTCCTCCCCCCCTCCTCCCTCCCCCTTTCCCCCCCTCCTCTCTCTGCCTCCCTCTCCTCCCCTCTCCTCTCCCCTTCCCTCCCTTTCCTCCTCCCTCTCCTCCCTCCCCTTTCCCCCCCTCTCTCCTCCTCTCCTCCTCCCTCCTCCCTCTCCCCCCCTCTCCTCCTCCCCCTTCCCCCCTCCTCTTCCTCCCTCTCCTCCTCCCTCCTCCTCCCTCCCCTCCTCTCTCCCTCCCTCCCTCCTCCCTCTCCTCCCTCCCCCCTCCTCCTCCCTCTCTCTTCCCTCCTTCCCTCTCCTCCCTCTCCTCCTCCCTCCCCCTCTCCTCCCTCTCCTCCCTCTCCTCAGTCCTGTTTGGGACTCTCAGATGTTATAGCACCACCATTGTGATGTAATTTGAATACTTTTAGTTGGACAGATTTTCTCTCTGACTTCTTACTCACCTCAAGTTCATGATTTCAGGGTCTTCCTCGCGCCATAATATGGACTTGGTCTTTTACCAAATAGGGCTATCTTCTGTATACCACCCCTACCTTGTCACAACACAACTGATTGGCTCAAATGCATTAAGAAGGAAAGAAATTCCACAAATTAACTTTTAAGAAGGAACACCTGTTAATTGAAATGCATTCCAGGTGACTACATTTTACATTTACATTTACGTCATTTAGCAGACGCTCTTATCCAGAGCGACTTACAAATTGGTGCATTCACCTTATAGCCAGTGGGTTAACCACTTTCCAATGTATTTTTTAAAATGTATTTTTATTATCTTTTTGTTTGGTTATTTTTTTTAAATGTTGGGGGGGGGGGGGGGGGGGGGGGATTTGAAGGATTACATTATCCTATCCCAGATATTCCTTAAAGAGGTGGGGTTTCAAATACCTCATGACTACCTCATGAAGCTGGTTGAGAGATTGCCAAGAGTGTGCAAAGCTGTCATCAAGGCAAAGGGTGGCTACTTTGAAGAATCTAAAATAAAAATATATATTTTGATTTGTTTTACACTTTTTTGGTTACTACATGAATCCATATGTGTTATTTCATAGTTTTGATGTCTTCACTATTATTCTACAATGTAGAAAATAGTAAAAATAAAGACAAACCCTTGAATGAGTAGGTGTGTCCAAACTTTTGACTGGGACTGTACATGATATCTGAGTGAGAATGACTAACAAAAGTCAATGGGGGCCACCTGCTCTGCGTGCAAGGTCGGTATACAAGTTTACAAATCAAAAAATTGTTAGCTGACATAGCTAATTATATATTTTTGGGGGCGGGGCCCCCTAGCGACCACTTATATCGCTAGGAACCGGTCCTGGATGTTACAGTAAAGATGATTTCAGCACTGATACTGAACTTCCCCTTTAAGAAGGGTAGGGCAGCCAACAGGTATGCTTTTGTTCAGACAGTTATAGTGCCAGAGATGGTAAGCCTATAGCCCAAAACTCTGTGAGCAGATTTTTGTGAGTAACACACACGTGCAAAACTGAACAGATTGCTTATTGTAGTACAATGGAACCATCTGGTGGCTAAAAGCTGAACTATTGAAAAGTATGAATGAAAGCTACTTACTGTAGTAGGCCATCATCATCATCTTCATCTTCATCATATTTTTGCCTGTGTACTTCTATATCCAGCTCAATGAGAAAAATAATAATTGTGCAAGATCAATATACAGGAATGTACCGATTATGGCGCAGGGGTCTAAGGCAATGCATCTCAGTGCTTGAGGCGTCACTACAGACCCCCTGGTTCGATTCCAGGCTGTATCACAACCGGCCGTGATTGGGAGTCCCATAGGGCGGCGCACAATTGGCCCAGCGTCGTCCGGGTTTGGCCGGTGTAGGCCGTCATTGTAAATAAGAATTTGTTCTTAACTGACTTGCCCTAGTTAAATAAAGAAAAAATAAAATAAAATGTGCGAGATCAGTGTGCAAGGTCATTAGTGTTGCAGTCAGTGGAGGCTCCTCAGAGGAGGAAGGGGAGGACCATCCCTCTCAGTGAATTTCATAAAAATGTAAATTGTAAAACATTTAAAGTGATCATTTTTCTCAAGGCCATCAGACTGTTAAATAGCCATCACTAGCACATTAGAGGCTGCTGCTGCCTATTTGAAATCACTGGCCACTTTAAGAAATGGAACACTAGTCAATTTAATAATGTTAACGTATCTTGCACTACTCATCTCATATGTATATACTGCATACTATTCTATAATATTCTTCAGTATCTTAGTCCATGCCGCTCTGTCATTGCTTGTCCATATTTGTATACATTTTTAAATCCCATTCCTTACTCTATTGTGTGTATTTTGTATATGTTGTGAAATTGTTAGATATTACTGCACTGTCGGAGCTAGAAGCACAAGCATTTCGCTACACCCGCTATAACATCTGCTAAACACGTGTATGTGACAAATAAAATTTGATTTTATTTGATTTATTATGGTGACAACGATGTAGGCTGTGTTTAGCGGTTTGGCTTGGAAAGGTTTTTTCGCCTGGTCACATACAGCTGATGTGTTGTACATTGAAGTCCACAAGCGAAGGGAAGAGGTGAGAGGAGGAGCGCGCATAGATGTGAGAAGGAATACAACGTGGTTGCTATGAAAGTGAACTGTGTTTATGCGTGATCAGGGGTGTATTCATTCCGCAGATTCTGTTGAATTTTTTTTTAAACTGAAGCAAATGGAACAAAACGGGGTAAACATACCTGAATTTGTCCAATAGAAACTCTTGTTTGCAACTGTTGGACTATTGATTACACCCAAAATCAGCTAGATGCAGGCAAGAGTGTGCAAGGGGGTATTGAATGTCACTGTCTACCATGTGTCACTGTCTGTCACCTCAAATTTGTCTCTCGACCTGTGTCGATTGTAGCAACCTCATGATGGGTATAGGGAAAATTCGAGTATCATGTAGTAGCCTAAACCTATCGCTGTTACATTGAACTTGGTGAATGGAATATGAATGAGAGTCATTCAATATGCTGTAATAGAAATAAGGCCATGCTCATGAGAAAAATAAATCGACCTCCCTCATCTTAAACGTCACCGACCGCCACCGGTTGCAGTGTAGGTGGCAAAGTTGGCGTTCATCATACAGCAAAATGAGGAATTTATATGAGGGTTTATTTATTCAATGTACCCTTGGGGGGGACATTGTTAGCAGCACATAACTGGAATAACAGACCCGTGCAGACAGAAAGAGGGCATCCTTCGCAACAACGCCTTCGAGGCGAGCAGACTTGGTGATTGGACGTGACGATAGCGCAAATTACCCAGCGTGGGCACAAAGCACTCTGCGGTACTAATTAGAGGAAAATGGCGCTGTCGTCTGCAGGAGGAACAAAGAAGAAAGTTTGCTATTATTATGATGGTAAGATTTGATGTTATGTATCTCAGTGGTTTCCGGAGTATTATTTGTTGATTCGGCGAGGATTCGGTGGTCGAGAGAAGTGCCGTAGTCGAGCTAGCTACCAAGTGGTTAGCCTGCTATCATTAGCTAGCTTGCTAAGTTGGTTGCTAGTTACCTGGTTAGGAAGAATACTTTAGTTAGCTAGCCAAAGCAACTTGAGATAGTCGTTTAATTATTTTGTAATGTTGCACAATCAGCTGAATTGCCGATATCTCGGTAACTAGGAAGTTGAGTATACTCATTTGTGGCAACTTGGCTGGCTAGCTAACGTTAGCTCGCTAGCTAAGTGAACTTGTAGTCTTATAACCAATTGACTAGCAAAACTAGCTACCGTTAGATAATGGTTAGTAATACTAATGAGTGTCCTTGAATCACGAACTTCCTCTTGACATTTAGCTACACCATTTGTTTTGTAAAGTGGGGTTATCAGTTAAACGAAGCCTGCGGTGTTTGATAGTGAACTTTGTGGGTAGTAGCGAATTGTGCAGGAGGTGGTGTTGAGACAGTAATTCGCTGTGTCTGTGCCATGAAGATTCAGACCTCTTTGCAGAGGTTGATCATTTGATTCGTTATTAAAACTATTATAGATGAGTTGTTTCGTACTGTGCAGTTACCAGGCTGCATGCTTGATTCGGGCTTGATAGGGCTGGGCAAAATAAAATAAAAACCTGTGCTCAAAGCGGCAGGAAGCCAAGAGGTTAAGAGCGTTGGGCCAGTAACCGGATGGTCGCTGGTTCGAATCCTAGAACCGACCAGATGGGGGGGGGGGGGAAAAAATATGTCTATGTGCCCTTGAGCAAGGCACTTAATCATATTTGCTCCTGTAAGTCGTTCTGTTAAGAGGGTCTGCAAAATGACTAAAATGTAAAGCCCAGAGCTACCGTACCTCTGGGCTAGGGGAAGGAAATATGGTTTGTTGTTTGTCTAAACCTGTTTCTTTCTTCTCCCCAGGCGACGTGGGTAATTATTACTATGGTCAGGGTCATCCCATGAAACCCCACAGGATCCGTATGACCCACAACCTGCTGCTCAACTATGGACTGTACAGGAAGATGGAGATATACGTGAGTACAACAGCCACAGGGGACTATATATATATATATTATTTTTTCCCCTCCTTAGATTAGTTAGATATTTATTATATAATTAAGCAATAAGGCCTGAGGGGGTGTGGTATATGGCCAATATACCACGGCTAAGGGCTGTTCTTAGGCAGTGCCTGGACACAGCCCTTAGCCGTGGTATATTGGCCATATACCACAAACCCCCGAGGTGCCTTATTGCTATTATAAACTGGTTACCAACGTAATTAGAGCAGTAAAAATAAATGTTTTGTCATACCTGTGGTATACCACGGCTGTCAGCCAATCAGCATTCAGGGCTCGAACGAACCAGTTTATAAATAAATGTATACAGCAAAAAGATATCGGGACACCTTGCAATCATGAGGCAGTATGCGTCTACAAATGCAGACCGCACTTGCTACAAAGTTACAGAAAGCTAAACCAACAACTACACAAACTGAAATTGGATACATAGTAAACGCAGAACCAACGAGGTGTTGAGTGATGAACATTAATTTCTCTGGTCCCTACTGTTGAAGTCATGATGCAATGGCGCTATGCTGTCAAATCGTCCCAAGTTTCTAGTTTGACCAGTTGTTTTCAGCAACGGATATTTTTTAATTTGGTTGTCATATTGGCAGGTTTGCTATCAACAAACTATTTAGCTAGCTTCTAGCATAGTGTTTGATATGCAATGCGATCTCCTCGTAATTAACAGTCAGTGTTGATGAATGTCCTGAAGGGAAGGCAAACTTTTCTAGCTATGCCAGGCAAAATCGGCTATTAATCAGCTCATTGTTATGGATGTATACAAATTAATGAAAATAGAAAACAGCTACTTGGCTGTTATTCTGTCTGCAGAGGTCGTGACTGTGTTATGCCTTGATCACACCGACAGCGTTATTGCGCAAAATGGTACACTGCATCATCTGGATATGTGTGCAACAACAGTTCAACGTTCACCTTCTGCTACCGTTTCTGTCAAGCCGTCTATGCATACAGTTTGAGGCAAACGTTGGATAAATCCAATATATGCAACTGCCTCTACAACGCAATCTACACACAACACCCCATAATGACAAAGCAAAAACAGGTTTTTAGAAATGTTTGCTAATTTATAATAAATAAAATAAAAACGCTTTACTCAGTACTTTGTAGAAGCACCATTGGCAGCGATTACAGCATCGAGTCTTCTTGGGTATGACGCTACAAGCTTGGCACACCTGTATTTGGGGAGTTTCTCCCATTCTTCTCTGCAGATCCTCTCAAGCTCTGTCAGGTTGGATGGGGAGCGTTGCTGCACAGCTATTTTCAGGTCTCTCCAGAGATGTTAGATCGGGTTCAAGTCCGGGCCACTCAAGGACATTCAGAGACTTGTCCTGAAGCCACTCCTGCATTGTCTTGGCTCTGTGCTTAGGGTTGTTGTCCTGTTGGAAGGTGAACCTTCGTCCCAGTCTGAGGTCCTGAGCGCTCTGGACCAGGTTTTCATCAAGGATCTCGCTTTACTTTGCTCCGTTCATCTTTGCCTCGATCCTGACTAGGCTCCCAGTCCCTGCCGTTGAAAAAGATCCCCACAGCATGATGCTGCCACCACCATACTTCACCGTAGGGATGGTGCCAGGTTTCCTCCAGACGTGATGCTTGGCAATCAAGCCAAAGAGTTCAATATTTGTTTCATCAGACCAGAGAATCTTGTTTCTCATGGTCTGAGAGTCTTTAGGTGCCTTTTGGCAAACTCCAAGCAGGCTGTCATGTGCCTTTTACTGAGGAGTGGCTTCCCGTCTGGCCACTCTACTATAAAGTCCTGATTGGTGGAGTGCTGCAGCGATGGTTGTCCTTCTAGAAGGTTCCCCGATCTCCACAGAGGAACTCTGGAGCTCTGTCAGTGACCAAGGCCCTTCTCCCCCGATTGCTCAGTTTGGCCGGGCGGCCAGCACTAGGAAGAGTCTTGGTGGTTCCAAACTTCTTCCATTTAAGAATGATGGAGGCCACTGTGTTCTTGGGGACCTAAATAAAGGTTAAATAAAAAATAAAAAAATATGCTGCAGAAATGTTTTTGGTACCCTTCCACGGATCTGTGCCGGACAATTCCTTCGACCTCATGGCTTGGTTTTTTTCTCTGGCATGCACTGTCAACTGTGGGACCTTATATAGAAAGGTGTGTGCCTTTCCAAATAATGTCCAATCAATTGCATTTCCAACAGGTGAACTCCAATCAAGTTGTAGACTGCACTGTCGGAACTAGAAGCACAAGCATTTCGCTACACTCCCAATAACATCTGCTAACCATGTGTATGTGACCAATACATTTGATTTGATTTGAGAAACCTCAAGGATGATCAATGGAAACAGGATGCACCTGAGCTCAATTTCGAGTCTCATAGCAAAGGGTCTGAATACTTATGTACATAAGTCAGCAAAAATGTACACACCTGTTCTTGCTTTGTCGTTATTTGGTATTGTGTGTAGATTGCTGAGGAATTTATTTTAATTTAATCCATTTCAGAATAAGGCTGTAACGTAACACAAATTTGGGAAAAAGTCAAGGGGTCTGGTAGCTTAGTGGTTAAGAGCGTAGTGCCAGTAACCGAAAGGTCGCTGGTTCTAATCCCCAAGCCGACTAGGTGAAAAATATGTCGATGTGCCCTTGAGCAAGGCACTTAACCCTAATTTGCTCCTGTAAGTTGCTCTGGATAAGAGCGTCTGCTAAATGACTAAAATGTAATGTAATGTCTGAATACTTTCCGACGGCAAACTGAAGCTGGACTTCTGGCCTGGACTTCTGGCCTGGACTTCTGGCCTGGACTTCTGGCCTGGACTTCTGGCCTGGACTTCTGGCCTGGACTTCTGGCCTGGACTTCTGGCCTGGACTTCTGGCCTGGACTTCTGGCCTGGACTTCTCATTCTCCTTTAACACGCTAAATGTTCTACACACGTCTGAAGTAACATTCTGTATAGTTCAGCTGTCCTGAAGTCCTAATAGACTTATACAAGTGTAAACGGGATAGTTGTGGACGACGAGTTTTCTGACCGTCAATATATTTTTCGTTACTGAAAATATTATGGAAACCTGAAATAGGGGAAACGTTTTTAGCAACCAGGTAATGGTGGAGTGTTTTTTTCTTTTTTCTACTGACTTTTCCCCTCTGTCTGACCCTTGTCCAGAGACCTCACAAGGCCAACGGAGAGGAGATGACCAAGTACCACAGTGACGACTACATCAAGTTCCTGCGTTCCATCCGGCCAGACAACATGTCAGAACACAGCAAGCAGATGCAGAGATGTGAGTAGCAGACAGTGTTTTTCCCCTAGCATTGCTCAGGTGTGGGGGTGCATTTTTAAAGTTAGATGGGTTCACCCCGAAAACCATCGTTGATCATACGTTGTAATGCCTTGTTTGTCACATGTTTTCATATGGCCTAATGTTGAGCTGAGTCTAGGCTATGCTCCACACTCACATCTGTTGTGTAGGTACTGCTTTATGCATTGGAACGAATCTGCAGGCCTCAATCACACATCTCAAATGAATGTCTTCCATCCTTGTTGTTCTCTAACAGTCAATGTAGGAGAGGACTGCCCAGTGTTTGACGGCTTGTTTGAGTTTTGTCAGCTCTCAACGGGAGGCTCTGTCGGTAAGTCTCTCGTTCGTTATCTATTTTCTCCATGTTTAGCCTCTTTCTCTGTCTGACTTCTGTTGTCTGTCTATCCCCCCCCCCCCCGTAGCAGGGGCAGTGAAGCTGAACAAGCAGCAGACGGACATCGCCATCAACTGGGCCGGAGGACTCCATCACGCCAAGAAGTCCGAGGCCTCTGGGTTCTGCTACGTCAACGACATAGTCCTCGCCATCCTGGAGCTGCTGAAGTAAGAGGCTCACCCACGCCGTCGTCTTGTCTGCGTCTTTTCACTTTTGGGGAAATACTGAAAAGAATGGTGTAGTGTCTCTTGAAATGTAAATGACAACCTGTTCTCAACTGGCTTACCTGGTTAAATAAAGGTGAAATAAAATAAAAAATAAAAAAAAGGAATAGTCCCCATGCTCTGATGAGAAACCTAGATATGAGTGTATTCACTGAATTGCATTGTCTTTCCTATCAGGTGATATGAATATGTAATGAGTTGTCTTGTCCGTCAAATCAGGTACCACCAGAGGGTGTTGTACATAGACATCGACATTCACCATGGAGACGGAGTGGAAGAGGCGTTCTTCACCACAGACCGGGTCATGACTGTCTCCTTCCACAAGTATGGAGAATACTTCCCTGGCACCGGAGACCTGAGGGTAAGTCTGTGTGGAAAAAATACAAATCGGGGGGGGGGGGGGGGGGGGGGGGGGTGGGTGTGTGTCGGATTGAGTCATTTTGTATTCCAGTATGTACAATAACGTGTGTGTTTTTTAGGACATTGGAGCAGGAAAGGGGAAATACTATGCTGTAAACTACCCTCTCAGAGACGGCATCGATGATGAGTCTTATGAAGCCATCTTCAAACCTGTAAGTCTGCTGCTGCAAGTCATTCAATGTTTTGGTTCCTTTTGGGGTCAAATGGATTCTACCTTTTTTGTGTGTGTATCTCACTTTTATACATTTTATCGTTACTGTGTACTAGGTGATGGCTAAAGTGATGGAGATGTTCCAGCCCAGTGCAGTGGTGTTGCAGTGTGGAGCGGACTCTCTCTCAGGAGACCGACTGGGCTGCTTCAACCTCACCATTAAAGGTAAAACACACACACTGAAGGAGGGCTGTCTTTATGGGCTGTGACGGTCATGGAATTTTGGATAGCTGTTATTGGTCAGCCAAATGACCGCCGTTATAATCGTTTAAATAAATGCAGCAAGGGGGCGTTGCCTACGCAACCAAAGACTTGTTTGCTACAACACCTTGTTACTGTGGAAATGGAATCGACCGCGCGAATGCCCCGGGCCGTTCCGTCTTCAGTCAGCTGTCCGTGCCACCAAAATAACTTATTTTTATTTTCACGACGGTCTTCATCCATAATCGTCGGTTATATGTTAATTGTGCAAGCCCTAGCTGTCTTACCTGTGAACTGGTCAGCGCCTGCATGACTCTTTGGTCTGGTTCGGATGTTAGCGTAGGGTTGCATCTGTACTCACGAACCATTTATTCTAGTGTTTTTCTAACAGTTTGAAGGTGATTTGAAGTATTCACACCCCTTCTCTTTCCACATTTTGTGTTATAGCCTGCATTTAAAATTAAATTGAGATACAATACCCCATGTCAAAGTGGAATTATGTTTTTAGACAATTTTACAAATTAATAAAAAATGAAAAGCTGAAATTTACATTTTAGTCATTTAGCAGACGCTCTTATCCAGAGCGACTTACAGTTAGTGAGTGCATAAAACAATTTCATACTGGTCCCCCGTGGGAATCGAACCAACTACCAACTGAGCTACACGGGACCAGAAATGTCTTAAGTATTCAACCCCTTTGTTATGGCAAGCCTAAATAAGTTCAGGAGTAAAAAAAAAGTTGGGTCAAATAATAGGTTGCATGGACTCTGTGTGCAATAATAGTGTTTAACATGATTTTGGAATGACTACCTAATCTCTGTACCCCACACATACAGATAATTGTAAGTTCCCTCAGTCGAGCAGTGAATTTCAAACACGGATTAAACCGCAAAGACCAGGGAGGTTTTCCAATGCCTCGCAAAGAAGGGTTCCTATTGGTAGAAAAGCAGACATTGAATAACCCTTTGAGCGTGGTGAAGTTATTAAATACACTTTGGATGGTGTATCAATACACCCAGTCACTACAAAGATACAGGCGTCCTTCCTAACTCAGTTGCCGGAGAGGAAGGAAACCACTCAGGGATTTCACCATGAGGCCAATGGTGAGAGTTTAACCTCTTTTTAAGGATTACACCCTTCTTTTCAATTTCCTCCTAAAATGACATCCCCAAATCTAACTTCCTGTCGCTCAGGACCTGAAGCAAGGATATACATATTCTTGATACTTTTTGAAAGGAAACACCTTTTGAAGTTTGTGGAAATGTGAAATTAATGTAGAACATAACATAATAGATCTGGTAAAAGATAAACAAACAAAAAAACAAGTTTTCTGTTTTTAGTTTTGTTGCATCATCTTTGACATGAAAAATAAAAGCCATAGATTCAGATAGGAAGCTGGAGGTAATTTAGATGTTGTCCACAAGAGGTCAACAGTGTATGTGCAAAGTTTCGGACGGATACCTTCAAGAATGAGCGAGCTAAATAACATTTAGTATGAAGTCACCCAGGTGTCCCTCACGAGTTTGCCCAAATGTACCCAAGTGGCCGAATTGGTAAATTTGATACATTTTCAAGTACATAACTATAGAGAACGTTCAAAAATTCCAAAAATACTTCCCTACATAAGAGACTAACCTTCACACATCTAGATGGCCGGATGGGGTGGGAGCCAGAGAACAGCAGCAGGGGTCTGACTGAATGAACTAGTTTCTACTGGAGGACTTGAATGTGGTCTCTTTGGTGTTGGCTCCCAGAGGCCATCTGAGTCAGTCTCTAGCACTATAGAAGATTTAAAAAAAAAAAATCTGTAAGAACTCAAGTTGACTATTACTTATTTTATTGAACCTTTATTTTAGCAGGGGGTGAGCCCTGCATCAATACTTTTACGGATGAGCCCTGCATCAATACTTTTACGGATGAGCCCTGCATCAATACTTTTACGGATGAGCCCTGCATCAATACTTTTACGGATGAGCCCTGCATCAATACTTTTACGGATGAGCCCTGCATCAATACTTTTACGGATGAGCCCTGCATCAATACTTTTACGGATGAGCCCTGCATCAATACTTTTACGGATGAGCCCTGCATCAATACTTTTACGGATGAGCCCTGCATCAATACTTTTACGGATGAGCTCTGCATCAATACTTTTACGGATGAGCTCTGCATCAATACATCAAATAAACAACACTTATCTATAAACATATTATGTAGAGTTTGGGGAACACAATCACTATAATGAAATATGTTTATAAACATATTGTAGGTCTGTGCCCTATTTACTATTATAATATAATATTTTTTTAATAATATAATTTATTTTGGTACAGACCTAAAATGTATTAGCACAGCCATTGTGTATTTTATGTTGACTGAGTCTCTATAGAAGATTACAAAAATTCAGTAAGAACTCAAGTTGACACTTACTTATTTTATTGAACCTTTATTTTAGCAGGGGGTGAGCTCTAGCCAATGTGTATTCTATGTTGTACATGCTGTGCCTGTGGTTTTCGAGTGCCCTATTTACTATTGGTAAACATATTTCATTATAGTGATTATATACAGTACCAGTCAAACGTTTGGACACACCTACTCATTCAAGGGTTTGTCTTTATTTTTTACTATTTTCTACATTGTAGAATAATAGTGAAGACATCAAAACTATGAAATAACACATGGAATCATGTAGTAACCAAAAGTGTTAAACAAATCCAAATATATTTGAGATTCTTCAAATAGCAACCCTTTGCCTTGATGACAGCTTACGAGACTCATAATTGAGCTCAGGTAGAAGGCACATGACAGCCTGCTTGGAGTTTGCCAAAAGGCACCTAAAGGACTCTGACCATGAGAAACAAGATTCTCAGGTCTGTTGAAACAAAGATTGAACTCTTTGGCCTGAATGCCAAGTGTCACGTCTGGAGGAAACCTGGCACCATCCCTACGGTGAAGCATGGTGGAGACAGCATCATGCTGTGGGGATGTTTTTCAGCGGCAGGGACTGGGAGACTAGTCAGGATCGAGGGAAAGATGAACGGTGCAAAATACAGAGAGATCCTTGATGAAAACCTGCTCCAGAGCGCTCAGGACCTCAGACTGGGGCGAACGGTTCACCTTCTAACAGGACAACGACCCTAAGCGCACAGCCAAGACAACGCAGGAATGGCTTCGGGACAATTCTCTGAATGTCCTTGAGTGGCCTAGCCAGAGCCCGGACTTGAACCCGATCTAACATCTCTGGAGAGACCTGAAAATAGCTGTGCAGCGACGCTCCCCATCCAACCTGACAGAGCATGAGAGGATCTGCAGAGAAGAATGGGAGAAACTCCCCAAATACAGGTGTGCCAAGCTTGTAGCGTCATACCCAAGAAGACTCAAGGCTGTAATCTCTGCCAAAGGTGCTTCAACAAAGTACTGAGTAAAGCGTCTGAATACTTATGTAAATGTCATATTTCAGTTAATTTTTTTTAATAAATTTGCAACAATTTCTAAAAACCAGTTTTTGCTTTGTCATTATGGGATATTGTGTGTAGATGGATAAAAAAAAATTTTTGAATGAATTTTAGAATAAGGCTGTAACGAAACAATGTGGAAAAAGTCAAGGAGTCTGAATACTTTCCAAATGCACTGTACCTTTCAGCAGGACAATAACCTAAAACAGAAGGCCAAATATACACAGGAGTTGCTTACCAAGACGACGTTGAATGTTCTTGAGTGGCCTAGTTACAGCAAGACTTTAATGGCTGTCTAGCAATGATCAACAACCAACTTGAAGAATGTAAAAAAAAAAAAGTGCAAATATTGTATAATCCAGGTGTGCAAAGCTCTTAGACTTACCCAGAAAGACTCACAGCTGTAATCGCTGCCAAAGGTGACTCTAACATGTATTGACTCGGGTGTGTGAATACTTGTGTAAATTAGATATTTCTGTATTTAATTTTTAAAAATGGTCAAACATGTTTTCACTTTGTTGTTATGGGGTAGTGTGTGTGTGTGTGTGTGTGTGGATGGGTGAGAAACACAACCATGTAGAATAAGTCAAGGGGTTTGAATAATTTCTGAAGACGCTGTGTTTCAGGCCATGCTAAGTGTGTGGAGTACATGAAGAGTTTCAACCTGCCTCTGCTGATGTTGGGAGGAGGAGGTTACACCATCCGTAACGTGGCCCGCTGCTGGACCTACGAGACCGCCGTGGCTCTGGACAGCACCATACCGAACGGTACGCACACACAGGAAATACTAATCTATGTACTCTGACCTGAAGAGATTGTTACCGTGTTGTTAATTTACAAAGTCCTACCTGAAAGTGTACTTCAGACTTTGTTTAGTAAGATGTTACACTTCTTCGTTTTGACTTCTAGCAGTGTAAAGATGCTCTGTTCATGGATGACCTTTAACCTGGTAGGTTGTTGAGAACGCGTTCTCTTTTACGATAACAACCTGACGATCTCTCTTGTCCTGTTTTTAGAGCTGCCATACAACGACTACTTTGAGTACTTTGGCCCTGACTTCAAGCTCCACATCAGCCCGTCTAACATGACCAACCAGAACACCAATGATTACCTGGAGAAGATCAAGTAAGTTACACAGACAGACGGAGACACACAGACAGACGGAGACACACAGACAGACGGAGACACACAGACAGACGGAGACACACAGACAGACGGAGACACACAGACAGACGGAGACACACAGACAGACGGAGACACACAGACAGACGGAGACACACAGACAGACGGAGACACACAGACAGACAGAGACACACAGACAGACAGAGACACACAGACAGACAGAGACACACAGACAGACGGAGACACACAGACAGACGGAGACACACAGACAGACGGAGACACACAGACAGACGGAGACACACAGACAGACGGAGACACACAGACAGACGGAGACACACAGACAGACGGAGACACACAGACAGACGGAGACAGACGGAGACACACAGACAGACGGAGACAGACGGAGACACACAGACAGACGGAGACAGACGGAGACACACAGACAGACAGACACACAGACAGACGGAGACAGACGGAGACACACAGACAGACGGAGACAGACGGAGACACACAGACAGACGGAGACAGACGGAGACACACAGACAGACAGACACACAGACACTCTGGTACACACTAAACGTCTCTCTCCCTCCCCAGACAGAGGTTGTTTGAGAACCTGCGCATGCTGCCCCACGCCCCTGGGGTCCAGATGCAGCCCATCCCAGAAGATGCTCCACACCCGGACTCTGGAGAGGAGGAGGACGAGGACCCTGACAAACGCATCTCCAGTAAGCGCGCACACACACACACACACACACACACACTAGCTCAGGGATAATGAACTAAATAAGGGCAGATATGTTTGTCTTTTATGTTTTTTGAGAGGATGGTCAGGGGGCCGGAACATAATTACAAATCATTTGTAGACTGCAAATTGATCGCAAGAAGCCCTAACGTATATATTTGACTAAAACAATAATTTCAAACCTTGCTTACGTTTGTATACGATCACTTATATCTCGCCAATAGGCGTGGGAATACTTTGGATCAAATAAAATCACCCTGCGGGCTGCCAGTTGGAGAACTATGCTCTAGCTCGAGAGTTCTGTCACATCTCACCACTGTTTTGTACTTGTTCTGAATCTTGTCTCTTACTGAATTGTGTTTTCCTGTGTAGTCAGGGCCCATAAGAGGATAGTGATGATGATGATGCTATTGTTTCTGTCAGGGCCCATAAGAGGATAGTGATGATGGTATTGTTTCAGCCAGGGCCCATAAGAGGATAGTGATGATGGTATTGTTTCAGTCAGGGCCCATAAGAGGATAGTGATGATGGTATTGTTTCAGCCAGGGCCCATAAGAGGATAGTGATGATGGTATTGTTTCAGCCAGGGCCCATAAGAGGATAGTGATGATGGTATTGTTTCAGCCAGGGCCCATGATAAGAGGATAGTGATGATGATGATGATGGTATTGTGTTTCAGTCAGGGCCCATGATAAGAGGATAGCCTGTGAAGAGGAGTTCTCTGACTCTGAGGATGAGGGACAGGGAGGAGGAGGAAGGAGGAACGCTGCCAACCACAAGAAAACCAAACGAGTCAAGACTGAGGAGGAGAAGGAGGAGGCAGAGGAGAAGAAAGGTGAAGTAAACTCCTCACACACACCGTGACTGGCCCAGGACACACCCCGTGACTGGCCCAGGACACACCACCGTGACTGGCCCAGGACACACACCGTGACTGGCCCAGGACACACCCCGTGACTGGCCCAGGACACACCCCGCGTGACTGGCCCAGGACACACCCCGTGAATTGGCCCAGGGACACACCCCGGACTGGCCCAGGAACACCCCCGGACTGGCCCGGACACACCCCGTGACTGGCCCAGGACACACCCCGTGACTGGCCCAGGACACACCCGTGACTGGCCCAGGACACACCCCGTGACTGGCCCAGGACGCTCGACCTGACGCCACCGTGACTGGCCCAGGACACGTGACATAACATCCGATGAACATTCTTTTTTGGTTTTCCCCAGAAGTGAAAGTGGAGGAGAAAGATCCAGAGGAGAAGATGGACACAGCAGGGTGAGTAGTGACCACAACACCGCATACTTCACTTTAAATGGAATATAACTCATCTAGGAATAGTGGCTTATGTGTCCAGTCTTAGCCCAGTCGTATGTATCCAGTCTTAGCCTAGTCAACTGTTTCTTAATTTCACCACCAGGCCAAAAGAAGAAACCAAGACGTCTTGAAGTTGAAGCATCAGAAATGCATGGCTTTCCAGTTGTGCACCAATACACACAGCAACCGAAAAGGACTGTAAATTATTCTCTAATGCTGTTTTTAGTATTTCTTCAGACGCGGTAAAATGTTTTGGGCTGTTTTATTATCATTTACTCATTGTAAACGCCTTTACAAAAGGTGTGTTGACGGCTGTCTAGTGCACTGCTCTGTAACGCGCCTTGGATTGAATCCCGACCTTATTTCCTCCCTCTTCACTGACCCGAGGTAACATAAGTGAAAGCCAATCCCCTGATAAGACTCCTGTCATCAATTTTACCTATCCTGAGTTCTTGGATCAGTCTAGATGGAGAGTTGGAAAAGGAATCCACTTTCCACTGCAGACATTGCCCTTTTCAACAATAGTCACTCACACGTCACCAGCCCTATTCTGCTCTGTAAGTTATTTTAAATAATGGATCAACATACACTGTGTACAGAACAGCCTCAATCTGTCGGGGCATGGACTATACAGGGTGTCGAAAGCATTCCATTGGGATGCTGGCCCATTTTGACTCAAATGCTTCCCACAGTTGTCAAGTTGGCTGGATGTACTTTGCTGACAATTCTTGATACACGGGGAAACTGTTGAGCGTGGAAAAACCCAGCAGCGTTGTAGTTCTTGACGCACTCAAACCGGGTGCGCCTGGCACCTACTACCATACCCCGTTCAAAGGCACTTAAATACTTTGTCTTGCCCATTCACCCTCTGAATGGCACACATACACAATCCATGTCTCAATTGTCTCTGCTTAAAAATCCTTCTTTAACCACCTGTCTCCTCCCCTTCATCTACACTGATTTTGAAGTGGATTTAACATGTGACATCTTTCAGCTGGATTCACCTGGTCAGTCTGTCATGGAGAGAGCAGGTGTAAATGTTTTCTATACTGTACATTGTGCTGTAATCTTTCCCCCAGATGACTGTACACACCACGCTCGCTTCTTCCTTACCTCGTTTTATATTTCTAAAAGTAAATGTTTTTTATTGTATTATTACAATGTATTTTTAATAGGTAATTAATTGAACGTTCCAGGATGAAGTTTCCTTAAGTACAGGTCCAAGATCAGCTAGCCCCTCCCCCGAGCCCTGTAGTCATTTAGTAAGGACAATACAAAACTGACCCGAGATCAGCGTGAAGGGGCAATTTCACCCTACGCCGCTGGGAACCGGCTCATGTTTTAAGCCCCTGGTATTTTCTACTGTAATAGCAGGTGAAAAGATGGTGTTTGGGGCAGAGTTCAATTGTGAAATGTGCATAACTTTTTTATATAGAAAAAATAAATCTAATTGATTTCGTGCTTTGTTGTTTTATTACTTTTTTTGAAGAGCACGTTAAGGCAATTATTTGGTTGTCTGTAGAGAAATTTGATTTCCAGGCTTCCTTCAGATTATGGTTATTCGACTTCACTGGTTAGTAAATAATACAAGCGCTGTAGTAAACTCGTCTCTTTCACGCACTAGCTTGGTTTCCCTCCAATACGCGCATTTCCGATCAGTCTGTGCGATGACAGCGCACAAACTTCTGCGGTTAAAATTAACATGTACCGAATAAAATATAAAAATGGGTTTGGTCGCATGCTCTCTAACCAACAGTCTACCTACGTGTGATTCCAATTATGGACAGCACTTGATTCTTTTGTCAAACGGCAAGCATCGATCATGTAATCAGAACGTGACCCTCGATATTCATCGGAAAGGCGCATCAAACTCACCACCCTGTTAAGTTCATAGGCTACATATAACTGCACGCTTTCCCGGCTTGTAGTGGGAGGACCACAACATATCAATATTAGACCATAAAAGCGTTTCCACAGCCACTTCTCGCATAAGTTTTTAAAACGGATCCCACATTGTCTAGCATACTTTATCGACATTTATCCAACATGTACTAAATGGAACCCTGATTTGGGAAGTACCCCTTTACACAAAAATGAACTAAATCAGAACAAATCATTTTGATAATGTTATCACATTACCGTACATAAACAAACCATGCAATAAACTATTTAACCACAATGTAGCTCAAATTCAATTTATTTGGAGAATCAGTTTAAATACACTCTGGAATAGTGATGAAAAGAGAGCAAAACCAAGGGTACGGAACATTTTTTACCTTCCTATTCGGTCAACCAAGGCAATCCAAACATTCCAGTTGGGCTATTTATTAGTGATGTCAGGACTATGGATGACCAGACAAAATAATTCCCAGGCCTAAAGTCTCCCCACCCCCATCACTAGGGTGCATCTCAATAGTCTTCAGTGGCTTCCTCTCCTCCATCGACACAGATTTAAAACCACTGAACAAGTGACAAACAATTCCTGGTAGTCATCCACCACCATTATTATTGCTGTCACCTATCCTGAGTTCTCAGATCAGTATAGATATAGGACAGAACACAAGGAAAGGCTCCTTCAGACTATTGAGATGCACCCCTGGTGTCCGTCCCACAGCCTGTCTGGTGGTGAAAAGAGTATCGCTGCTGGTCTTCAGTTTACGCCTCCAGCTCGAAGTCAAAGTATTGGGGGTCAAAGTGATGAATCCTAGTGTAACCGTCCTCTCCTCCACTGGAGTAGCTGAAGACGAGAGAGAGAGGTAGAAAGAGGTTCAGTTTTCCAGACGCGCTGGTTTAGTTGGACATTACATGATTCAGTTCCAAAATCAACTGAAATTGACCCCAAAACTGTTACTTGCATTCATTGAGAGCTGAGAATGATCACCATTTAGGTAAAGACAGACAAGAAATCTATATTTACTTGGTTATCATTCTAAGTATTATATGGCAACTCATTTCCATCACAATGCTTGCTTAGCGAGTAACACTTCCCCCATTTCAGCTCATTTTACATTTTAGTCATTTTAGCAGGACGCTCTATCCAGAGAGACGTACAGTTAGTGCATAATTATATTATATATTATTTTTTCATACTGGCCCACCGTGCCGGAACAAACCCACAACCCTGGCGTGCCATTCCCCCCTACCCTGGACGACGCTGGCACCTCCGCCTTGGAAACACACGTGACTGTCCTCCCCGAAGCATCTTACCAGTCGCGCCACCGAAAAGCTAGCTATTCAGCAGCGCTATTGGGGACACTTAGGTTGAGGACAGAGATACACATCCCATGTGCTACACTTGGATGGATAAAAATAAATACTAATGCCATTTAGCAGACGCTTTTATCCAAAGCGACTTACAGTTATGCGTGCATACAATTTTTTTTTGTGTATGGGTGGTCCCGGGGATCGAACCCACTACCTTGGCGTTACAAGCGCCGTGCTCTACCAGCTGAGCTACAGAGGACCACAGACTTGGATAATCAAGTTCTATTCTTTAGTGCCTTTTGGACCTTACCTCTTGCCGTCCGGGTGGAACGCCACACAGTTGATGGGTCCAAAATGACCCTTGACCCTGCCAAACTCCTCTTCGTAAGCTGCGTGGAAGAACCTGGCCTCGAACTTGCCGATCCTGGTGGAGGTGGTGGTGACCTCCATGGCCTCCTGACCTCCTCCCATCACCACCTACAACACACACAGGGGTTAAAGGTCAGCTCTGGGATAAGGAGGTGCTGGAGAAATGTTCTCTGGGATAAGTGAGTGTTTGTTTGTCTGTCGTGTGTGTCAGTGGTTGTCTGGTGTGGTTGTCTGTGCTGTGTGTCTCACGTGGTCCATGATGGGGGAGATGGCAGCAGAGTTGACGGGTCTCTCTGTCTTGAAGGACTTGATGTGATCTAGAGTTGTAGAGTCAAACAGCTGTGGGGTAGACACAGTCAGTCAGTACATACAGGCAGTCAGCTGTTGAACTCAACTAGTTAAGAAGCCCCAGTCCTCTCCAGCTCTCCTTTCACCCATCAACATCCATCTCTCTACCACTCCTTTCACCCTTCCACCTCTCCATCTCTCTACCCCTCCACTTCTTTTCACCCATCATCCTCTCTCCATCTCTCCTTTCACCCCTCCACCTCTCCTTTCACCCTTCCACCTCTCCATCTCTCTACCCCTCCACTTCTTTTCACCCATCATCCTCTCTCCAACCCTCCTTTCACCCATCAACATCCATCTCTCTACCACTCCTTTCACCCTTCCACCTCTCCATCTCTCTACCCCCTCCACTTCTTTTCACCCATCATCCTCTCTCCATCTCTCCACTGGGCAGTCATGCCTGGCTACCTTAGAGGAGCAGTCTTTAGATGCGGTGATGACCATGGTCAGATCAACAGAGGTCTGGATGTCATTGATCTGTTTGGTGTGTTCCTTCACCTTCTTCAGCACCTCTCCAGACTGCAACACACACGTCAGAGAAAATACTGTCAGTATAATGATGTGATACACGTATTAGGATATCAATTTATCTGCCTTCTGTCTTCAATAAATGTGTGTATGTGTTAATGTGTGTGTGTCAGGGTGTGTTAATGTGTGTGTCAGGGTCTGTGTCAGGGCACCTTGGCGCTGAACTGGTTGATCTCCCCATTCTCGTGACCAGCGATAACAAACTCTCCCAGAGGCCCCCACACAGCACTGGTGATCTTAGACTCAGCGCAGGGCACCGTCAGGTACGGCTGGTTGTCCTCTACAGGGAGGGACAGAGAGAGGGGGAAAGATAGGGAGAAACATCCTCAGACAACTGTAATGGCTGTGACACCAGATAGATACATTCTGGTCAAAGGAACTGCATAAACAATACAGCTGACGCTCCAGAAAGCCCATTAGAAGGCAAGGGAACGTTATCACAACGTTGCGTTCACCTTCACCTGCAAACAGCAGTTTATATCCCGTTCCTTCAGTTGTGTAACCAACAGGGTAAGGGTCTAGGGGTTGTTTTAAGACTAATCATCAGAAGTGTACACTACTTACCGATCTGCTGGGGGTCGCGGAGGTCGAAGTAGTTGAGGAAACACTGGTAGCCCATCTGCTTGTCTGTAGAGAACATGATGATGTTGCCACTGAAGTCAAAGCCACAGGTCCTCACAGCCGAGCTGGTGTTCAACATGGCTAGCTGTTTACCTGGGAGAGAAAGGAGAGGTCATATCACAGTTGCATGCTCACAAACATACCAGGAAGTTATTCAACAAACCTCAGTCTCAAACATTCATGCACTAACACACATACAGGTATCTGATCCACTAAAGGAGTTGTCATCTTTTGTTTTCTCTCAAACACACACACACCTACGTACCCGTCTCACAGTCCCATAGTCTACAGCTGTTGTCTGCCGATCCTGTCAACACATTCTTGGTGTCCCCTGAGAGCATAGTTAAGGACAACCAGCAACAATCATATTACCTACCCCCTGTACATTCATGTTGCCCATAACAAGGAACCTAAACAAAACCCCAACACTCAATGACCCTTCTAGGAACATCATATACATTTACATTACATTTACGTCATTTAGCAGACGCTGTTATCCAGAGCGACTTACAAATTGGTGCATTCACCTTATAGCCAGTGGGATAACCACTTTACAATTATTATTATTTTTAAATAATTTTCTACTTTATTTATTTCTAGAGTATATTTTTAATTTTCATTTGTTATATATACACCCCCAAACAAAACCCCAACACTCACTGACCCTTCTAGAAACATCATAACATGTAAACAGGTAACATGACATGGACCTTTTTAAATCTTTTTCTTTGATGGTCCAGCACCATCCTCAGACAATTGCTTTCATTTTTGGTGTAATTCTCATTCAAATAAAAGGTTAAAATGTAGGTCATTTGACATGATAACCCAGAACGCTGGGCCATAATAATGGTAAATTGCACCATGGTGCGCATGGCTGTTGAATGTCTTGAGTAAAAGATACAGTCACAGTCCACACACCACAAAGCTCCAGTGTGTCCATTGTAAGTTCCGAGCCTCTCCCCGTTCACAGAGTACCACACGTTCGCTACCTGTGAATAAAGCACAAACAATGTGAATTGTTAAAACTTACTGGTGGTGGATGAGTGATATATTTCTATATACACATGGCATTCTTCTGTGTATAATTTCTTACTTACTGTGTCTTTGGCCACAGAGAAGATCAGGTCTCCCTCTCGGTTGTATTTGATCTGTGTGATAGACCTTTCATGGCCCTGTAGCAGGATGGGTTTCTGCAGGGCACAAGAACAAGGCAAGTTAGTGAACTGCACAGCCAGTTCAATATTGGCAACTGTTTTACTAGCACTAACAGGTAGCTAACTAAACCAGTATTTATGAGTTAGAGACCTACAAGAAGACTTGACGATGAGGTTTATAGCTAGCTAGCTAATTGACGGTGCCAAAATCGAAATCTTCTAAACTATTCTGAGAATGGGAGTCACTGGCTGAATCATTTGCTACCTAGCTACGTGCTAACGCTTGGCTCAATGACCGTATGGGATGGCAAACATATTGGACAACCAAATAACTTTAGCATTGTGCATAACATCGACAATGTTGGGGATGACTAACATAATCAATTGCTAGTAACGATTGATCAACCAAAAGGTGCCACATTTTCGTACTTGCCAGCTTTTATTATACTAACATTAGCTAGCTAAACTGACACCAACGCATCATCCTTTTTATGCTAGCGAGCTAGATTGATGGTAGCTATCTGGTTAGCATAAACCGAGGACATCCTAGACCATTTTACTTAAGTTCAACACACTTTGATAGGTGGCTAATCAAATTTAAGCAGTTCGAATATGACATATTCACCATCGCCGAAGTTGTACACTGGTCGCTTTATCCGTTGTAATCGATATTTTAACAACAACAACAAAAAAAGCGAGACAGGATGAGGACTCGTGTTGCGCGGCGCCGAGGCGAAGGCGGAAAAGGAGCGTTAGTACTTCCGTGTCAAGCAGTGACCCCTGAACGTTCTAACCGGCGTATTTTTCTCAGGCTAAAAGTTTAGATATTCACTAGGATTTATTTATGAGAATGTAAAGAAAAGCGTTTGAAATATTTACAGGTCATTGAAAAAGTTGTACAGTGTTTAGTCTACAGTGAATTGTCGATTGTTGTAAAGTTAATGGTGGTCCTCTGTAGCTCAGCTGGTAGAGCACGGCGCTTGGTAGTGGGTTCGATCCCCGGGACCACCCATACAAAAAAAAATGTATGCACGCACGACTGTAAGTCGCTTTGGATAAAAGCGTCTGCTAAATGGCATATTATCTATCTATTATCATGGTCTCCTAGTACTTGCAATTGCAGGGGGACACAAATAAAATATCAATCACCAAATCACAAGTACATCTTTTAATTAGCAAGACAGGAAGTATACAGGGTAAGAAAAGTACAGGAAAATAAAATGGGGAAAAACCCGAAATAAAAGAGAAACTATCTTGGGTTCTTGATCAACATGGATTAATCTCTAAAACCAGTTAGGATCAAGAAAGTGAGTCAGTCTTTATTATGAAATAAAGAAATGCATTGCATTCCTCAAACTGCAGCCCCTGGAGCCAGACCAATGCTACAAACTAAAACATGGAAGACACATTAAGTGATGCTAACATAGATACACTACAGAAATATGAATTTACTTTCATTGCAATAATCTATCCTCCTTCCAACATTATTAGTCTGGTGGGGAAAATAAACTGCCTCCCAGTACTCAGAAAAGAAAACGGAATGTCTTCCTTTTTTCAAAGTGTATGGCGAACACTGACAGCACCACAGCATATACCTGTCAACCATAACACTTCATGGTACAGAGAAAATAAACAGTTGGTTTGTGACAGTGTTTATATAGAAGGAAGAATTTGCAATTACCCACTGGAGGTTCAGGTTCAAAATGTAGCAAACCATTTCACAACAGAACACCTTTTGCAACAAAAATGTGAGTTTCTATTGTTATATCCTGTTTGCTAACGTTTGGTTCCTAGTGAATACCCGCCAGGACTGTGTCCGGGAAGGGAGCGGATAATACATTCTCAGTTAAGTGCTTCTCAAATCAAACTGCCACAGAACTAGATAGCAAGGCTAGGGTTGCATAGAAATATCTGTTTAAACACTGTATTAGAAATGATTAAACCAAACTAACTATCCAAGTTGGGATACAACAATCTTGTTAAGATACGTGGTCCTCTGTAGCTCAATTGGTAGAGCATGGCGCTTGTAACGCCAGGGTAGTGGGTTCGATCCCCGGGACCACCCACACGTCGCTTTGGATAAAAGCGTCTGCTAAAATGGCATATTATTATACGTATTCTCAAACACACAGAATAGAGAATGAATCATTGGTAGTCACCTTTGTCAGGACAGTTTCAGTGGAATCTTAACCATAAATTATCATGATCGCAAGGCCAGCTAGCATGAACATTGTTAAAACATTTCCATTGGATCCAATGTTGTAGAATGAAATTGAAAAAGCACATAATATGAATGTGGAATGGATACTTGCATACTGTGGGAATGAGGAGGGACATCAAATTGGTCAACGAATGCAGCCAGTAGCTTTAAAAAAAATACAACAAAAAAATATCTAAATTAAGAAAAAATAAACTATATATATATATATAGTGGTGTTTGACTCGTTAGATACACAACTGTTAAAATAACTCAGATAATATATCAAACAAATACAGTCTACAAACTCTGCGCTGTCTTTGCAACATAGAACTCTAGTGTGCAACATAAGAGGTCCAAGGTACAGTATGACATAAAGCAGGGTTGGGGTCAATTTCAATTCCACATTTTCATGAAAAGCATTGAGGATAATTGAAATGGAATTGACCCCAACCCTGATATAAAGAAGCAACCCAAAACCAAACTGAAGAACAAGGCTATTTTTTCTACTCTAGGGGTGTAATTCATTAGTACAAGCCTTAGCAAAACATTTTGCAATGAAAACAAGTTTCTTATTGACATTTTAGTCATTTTAGCAGACGCTCTTATCCAGAGCGACTTACAGTTATTGAATACATATTTTTTTATACTGGCCCCCCGTGGGAATCGAACCCACAACCCTGGCATTGTAAACGCCATGCTCTATCAACTGAGCTACATCCCTGCCGGCCATTCCCTCCCCTTACCCTGGACGACGCTGGGCCAATTGTGCGCCGCCCCATGGGTCTCCCGGTCGCGGCCGGCTGCGACAGAGCCTGGATTCGAACCAGGATCTCTAGTGGCACAGCTAGCACTGCGATGCAGTGCCTTAGACCACTGCGCCACTCGGGAGTTATCTTATTGGACAAGTTCAGCGAGGTCCCTCCTCGTTTTGCCCCCATTTCCTTCCGGTTGGTTCCTAGTGAATAAACCCCTGGTCAAAGAGCATTTTGTGTGGATCCGACGATTCTGCAAGATTCATAAAGAATATCTACATCATCCGTTAAGTGTTTTGATGCTCTGGACCTCTGGTTCTAAACAAGGATATCTAAAATGGAATGAAAGAAAAGTGACCTTTTGCAAGCTATCCCCCAACCTAGATATATACACTCTGCTCTCCGTACCGAAGGAAAGGTCAGGTGATCCATGCATGCTCTGATGCGGTAGCCATGCTTTCAGTGTGCTCAACTTCTAAGGGACAAATCCTAAATTCAGATCTGCCTCAAAATTAGAATGACACGAAAATTCAAGTACAACTGTGGCCCTACATCTGCAGACTCACTGTATCTTAACCTCTATATGACTGATACACACACACACATATAGGAAAAAGAGGGACCGATGGAGACAAGACACACATACAAAATACTCTTCTGTCCCAACATCATCTTTACTGTAGATCCTGCATTGCTAAGCAGCCAGCAGCAACACTTTTCTCCATCCCAAATGGCACCCTAGTCCCTACATACAGGTATAGTGCACTACCGTTGACCAGGATCCATAGGGCTCTGGTCAAAAGTAGTGCACTATATAGGGAATAGGGTGCCATTTGGGATGAAGCCTTTCTTTAGCTTGCTTTGCTTGGCATTAAAACGCTGTGATTTTCATGAGCGTTGTGTACTTGAGTTCTCAAAGGAAAGGAAAAAAAGAGCAAAATAAAACACGCAGGATGAAGAAGAATCTTCCCTGTCTGACACCACCTACAAGCATTTCGCTACACCCTGCAATAACATCTGCTAAAAACCTGTAATGTCACAAATAACATTTAATTTGATCAGCATCACCTTCACCTCTCCAGGAGGAAGCTGTTACCTGACTGCAGATCCAGGGTCAGATTTTCTTGCACCGCCCTATTGGTTTTAGGATGGACGTAAGGGAATCTGATCCTAGATCTGTGGTTAGGGGACAACTTTATCCAACTGTGGGGGAATCATACAGACCCACACTCTTAACTCCCACATTAGTAGTGGCTTGGCTTGCAGGCTGGTAGTTGGTTGGTGAAGGGGAGAGACTAAGCGGTGTTGCCCAGGCAAGAGGTCTCATTCCTGGGCAGTCAGGGGGGCTGCACAGGCCTGATTCTCAGTGTCCAACTCTGGGCCGCAGTGGCAGCCGTGGGAGCAGGGTCTGGGGGAGCTAGGGGTGGTGGTGTTGGGGTCTGGGCTGGGCTCCTGGGAGTCTGTGGAGGGTAGGGAAGGGGATTCGACCCCTGGGCTGTTGTCCTCGGGGCCGGCGCTCAGGCCTTGGACCTTCTTGCTGAGCTCGTTGCGTTCGTTCTGCAGTGCCCGGCAAAGCTTCTCCAACCTTCCTACCTTCCCCTGGAGGCCGTCAAACTCACGGTCCTGCAGGGTTTTCTACAGGAGACACGCAGATTAATACAGATACACACAAACTTACACTGAGTGTACAAAATATTAGGAACACCTGCTCTCTCCATGACAGACTGACCAGGTGAAAGCTATGATCCATTATTGATGTCACTTGTTTAATCCACTTCAAAATCAGTGTAGATGAAGGGGAGGAGACAGGGTTAAAGAAGGATTTTTAAGCCGAGACAATTGAGACATGGATTGTGTATGTGTGCCATTCAGAGGGTGAATTGACAAGACAAAATATTTAAGTGCTGGGTTATGCATGGCAGTAGGTGCCAGGCGCACCGGTTTGTGTCAAGAACTACAACTGCTCCTGGGTTTTTGAACGCTCAACAGTTTCCTGTGTGTATCAAGAATGGTTCTAATGTTTTGTACACTCAGTGTATAATCTTGCACTTTTCCCCAACAAAACACAAAATACACACAACATTACAAAAGCTCCAAATCAGTGATTTAAATCTGAATTACCTCCTCAGCCATGACCAGCAGGGCTTTGTTGCTACTCTCCCACCTGGAGCGATACATGCTCGTCTCCTTCTCCAGCTTCTTGATCTTCTTCGTCATCTAAGGACACACACACACAGGTCACATCACATGACCACGGACGACACGCAGGTCACACGCTCTTCTGGGATCTCTGCTGATGTGTGACACAGACAGACAGCCAACTCACTCACCTTCTCCATCTCCTGTTTGAAGGTGGTGAACACCTCATTGCTCTTGGACAGAGTGGTCTGGAACTCCTCAAACTTCTCTGTGTATAAGGACAGCTGGGTGGGGAGACAGGCGGGAGGGGATACGGGAAAGAGAGTTAGGTCATTCACTATGGAAATATAGTCCACCACATTAACTTTACAGCTCAACAGACACAGTGAGGTTGTTTATCATAGCGCTAGATGCATCCACTCTGTCCTAGAGAGTTCTAAGTTACCTGTTGTTTCAGATGGACCTCCTGCTGCTTCATCAGCTCACACATTCTCTGAGACTCCACCGCTTCCTTCAACAGCTGGAGAGACAACAGGAGACTAACATGAGACTAACCCAAACCCCTCCTCTGAGACTCCACCGCTTCCTTCAACAGCTGGAGAGACAACAGGAGACTAACATGAGACTAACCCAAACCCCTTCTCTGAGACTCCACCGCTTCCTTCAGCAGCTGGAGAGACAACAGGAGACTAACATGAGACTAACCCAAACCCATCCTCTGAGACTCCACCGCTTCCTTCAACAGCTGGAGAGAAGAGGAGACTAACATGAGACTAACCCAAACCCATCCTCTGAGACTCCACCGCTTCCTACAGCAGCTGGAGAGAAGAGGAGACTAACATGAGACTAACCCAAACCCATCCTCTGAGACTCCACCGCTTCCTTCAACAGCTGGAGAGACAACAGGAGACTAACATGAGACTAACCCAAACCCCTCCTCTGAGACTCCACCGCTTCCTTCAGCAGCTGGAGAGAAGAGGAGACTAACATGAGACTAATCCAAACCCCTCCTCTGAGACTCCACCGCTTCCTTCAACAGCTGGAGAGAAGAGGAGACTAACATGAGACTAACCCAAACCCCTCCTCTGAGACTCCACCGCTTCCTTCAACAGCTGGAGAGAAGAGGAGACTAACATGAGACTAACCCAAACCCCTCCTCAGACTCCACCGCTTCCTTCAGCAGCTGGAGAGACAACAGGAGACTAACATGAGACTAACCCAAACCCATCCTCTGAGACTCCACCGCTTCCTACAGCAGCTGGAGAGACAACAGGAGACCAAAATAAAGTGTTGTGGGTTTGATTCCCATATAACTCACATGATATACTCACTGAGTTGAATACGTTGACTAGTGTTCACCAAACGACCATGTTTTACTGTTACTCACAAAGTCCTTCTCTCTGTGATGGCGGTCCTCTGCCTCCATGAGCAGTTCCTGAGCCTGGTGTAGCTTAGCGTCCACCAACTGTTGCTGCAGGTCCTTGTGCTTGAACACCTTGTCAATGTGCTGTGAGAGACGACAGGGGGTTAACGCTCACATGTGCAGAACATTGTCAGACCTTTACTGCAGTTGCACCTGGTTTGCTTTAGTTATTTAAGTAAATGTCCATGTCCTGGCACAGAGCTGCAGCACTCCTGTCTGCTCCCCCCGGAAACACACACCGTTTCTCACCCACTCCAAAACACACACACCACACCACTCCCCAACCACACACCGTTCTCCCCACTCCACCACACACAGTTCCCCACCCCCCAACACACCGTTCTCCACACTCCACAACCACAAACTTCTCCCACTCCCACACCGTTCTCCCCAATCCACACACCGTTTCCCCATCACGTTCTCCCCACCCACACACCGTTCTCCCCACACACGTTTCCCACTCCAAAAACGTTCCCCCACACCGTCTCCCAACCTCACACACAACACGTTCTCCCCACCACCCCACACGTCTACCCACACACACACGTTCTCCCCACCCACCACCCCCACCGTTCTCCCCACTCCACACAACGTTCCCCCACACCTCACCCACTCCACACACCGTTCTCCCACTCCACACACCGTTCACCCCAAAACCGTTCTCCCCCCCACCACACCCGTTCTCCCCCACTCCACAACACACGTCTCCCCACACACCGTTCTCCCCACTCCACACACCGTTCTCCCCACTCCACACACCGTTCTCCCCACTCCCCACACCCACACCGTTCTCCCCCACACGTTCTCCCCCCCACCGTTCTCACCACTCCACAACCCCGTTCTCCCACACCGTTCTCCCCACTCCACACACCGTTCCCCACTCCACACAACCGTTCTCCCCCACTCCACACACCGTTCTCCCCACTCCCCACAACCGTTTCTCCCCACACCGTTCTCCCCACTCACACCAAACCGTTCTCCCCACCACACCACACACCGTTCTCCCCCACCCACACCGTTCTCCCCACTCCACACACCGTTCCTCCCCACACCGTTTCCCCCCACCGTTCTCCCCACTCCACACACCGTTCTCCCCACTCCACACACCGTTCTCCCCACTCCACACACCGTTCTCCCCACTCCACACACCGTTCTCCCCACACGTTCCCCAACCCACACCCGTTCTCCCCACTCCCCACCCCCCAACGTTCTCCCCACTCCACACCGTTCTCCCCACTCAACACACCGTTCTCCCACTCCCCACACCGTTCTCCCCACACCGTTCTCCCCACTCCACACACCGTTCCCCCCCCAAAACGTTCTCCCCACTCCACCACCGTTCTCACTCCACTCCACACACCGTTCTCCCCACTCCAAAACACCGTTCTCCCCAATCCCCCAAAACCGTTCTCCCCCCAAACACACCGTTCTCCCCACTCCACACACCGTTCTCCCCACACCGTTCTCCCCACACCACACACCGTTCTCCCCACACCGTTCTCCCCACTCCACACACCGTTCTCCCCACCCTCCCCACCCGTTTCCCCACACCGTTCTCCCCACTCCACACACCGTTCTCCCCACACCGTTCTCCCCACACACCGTTCTCCCCACTCCACCACCGTTTCCCACACCGTTCTCCACCACACACGTTCTCCCCACACCAAAACGCAACACACCGTCTCCCCACTCACACACCGTTCCCCACTCCCACACTCCACACACCGTTTCCCATCCACACACGTTCACCACGTTCCTCCCACTCCAGACACGTTCTCCCACCCGTTCTCCCCACACCGTCTCCCCACACACGTTCTCCCACTCCAAAACCACCGTCTCCCCACTCACACCACACCGTTCTCCCCACTCCAAACACCTCCCACACCGTTCTCCCCACTCCAACACCGTCTCGTCTCCCCACTCCAACACCGTTCTCCCAACTCCCCCACACCGTTCTCCCCACCCCACCGTTCTCCCCACACCGTTCTCCCCACTCCAGACACCGTTCTCCCCACTCCACACCGTTCTCCCCACTCCACACACACACCTCCTCTCGTAGTTCGTACTGTTGGATGAGTTTCTTGAGCTTCTCTGCCAGCTCAGAGTTCTCCTGCCTCAGACTGGTATTCCTCTCATTATGTTGTTCCATCTGGGCCTGGATGTCATTCAGAGTCACCTGGGAACACACGCACACACGGCTTAGAGGATGTTACATCATAAAGGACGTGACACCAGGAAGTAGCCGAAACAGTTTAATCCTTGTGTGAATGTCATTAGTATTTCCTTGATTCCTCGCCTACTTCTCAACACTCATAGGAGAAGATCGTGGCAATGAATCAAGGAAAGACTTGAGATTCATCCTTTCTTTACACGATGCTAGTGGCTCACCTGGAAGTGTGATGTCACCTCCTTCCTCTTCTCCTCCTCCACGCGTGCACGCTGCACCCCGTCCTCCTGCAAGAGCAGGTCAAAGTTCGTTTAAAATGCACAGCTCCATTTGACTCCAGAAAGTTGTTCACTTCTTGAATCAGAAAAATATTAAAACTTTTGGTTAACAAGAAGATGGTCATAGCAATCAGAGAACAATAAGACTCATCTTATAGTTTTTGGAACGCAAACTTGGAATGTGTGGGTGCGCTCGAGCAGATCACTTTAGTCAGGTCGTTGGTTACAGCCTTTCAAGGGGTGTTGCATTATGGGGATAAAAATTGTCAGACTTGCGCCTACATGTCGAATGCATGAACTTGACAACTATCATGTGATCAAAAAGGTCATTACGTTGACTGCAGTCGACAGTTGCTCTTCACCATCTTCATCCTGCAGCTATCCCCGGCATTGTGGGAGGCTCTATTGCCAACCACCCTTCAGAGGGTTCCAGTTTGACCCAGACGAACAGGAACCAACTTTGCCATGATTCATACAGTGGACTGGATATAAATGAATGTGATATTTAAGGCTCTTTATCACTAATTGATTATACAATTTACACACATGATTCCAGTTTGTGAGTCTGTGCTATGGGGGTTGGAGACATGTTATAAGCAATGGCAACACTGCCATGTTGATCTGAGCCTTTTTTGTTGGAAAACCACATCTGCAGTCGGTTGCTTTAGCCATACCACTCAAAGGAGCCCTATGTGAGCTCTCCCTTCTGCATACCAGGAGCCCTATGTGAGCTCTCCCTTCTGCATACCAGGAGCCCTATGTGAGCTCTCCCCTCTACATACCAGGAGGCCTATGTGAGCTCTCCCCTCTGCCTTTCTCACATACCACGAGCCATGTGAGCTCTCCCTTTCTGCATACCAGGAGGCCTATGTGAGCTCTCCCCTCTGCCTCTACATACCAGGAGCCCTATGTGAGCTCTCCCCTCTGCATACCAGGAGCCATATGTGAGCTCTCCCCTCTGCCTTTCTCACATACCAGGAGCCCTATGTGAGCTCTCCCCTCCTGCATACAGGAGCCCTATGTGAGCCTCTACATACCAGGAGCCCTATGCTGAGCTCTCCCCTCTGCATAACCAGGAGCCCTAGGTGAGCTCTCCCCTCTGCCCTACTACCAGGAGCCTATGTGAGCTCTCCCCTCTGCATACCAGGAGCCTATGTGAGCTCTCCCCTCTGCATACCAGGAGCCATATGTGAGCTCTCCCCTCTGGCATACCAGGAGCCCTATGTGAGCTCTCCCCCTCTGCATACCAGGAGCCCTATGTGAGCTCTCCCCCTCTGCATACCAGGAGCCCTATGTGAGCTCTCCCCTCTGCATACCAGGAGCCATATGTGAGCTCTCCCCTCTGCATACCAGGAGCCATATGTGAGCTCTCCCCTCTGCATACCAGGAGCCATATGTGAGCTCTCCCCTCTGCATACCAGGAGCCCTATGTGAGCTCTCCCCTCTGCATACCAGGAGCCCTATGTGAGCTCTCCCCTCTGCATATCAGGAGCCCTATGTGAGCTCTCCCCTCTGCATATCAGGAGCCCTATGTGAGCTCTCCCCTCTGCATATCAGGAGCCCTATGTGAGCTCCCCCTCTGCATATCAGGAGCCCATATGTGAGCTCTCCCCTCTGCATATCAGGAGCCCTATGTGAGCTCTCCCCTCTGCCTCTACATACCAGGAGCCATATGTGAGCTCTCCCCTATCTCAGACTCAACTATGGCTGATTCACATTATAGGCCCAACTTAAACCACACTGTGCTGGCCTGAATACCGACTTACACCGCACTGTGCTGGCCTGAATACCGACTTAAACCGCACTGTGCTGGCCTGAATACTGACTTAAACCACTGCTTCACCATCCTATACCTCAGGGATCATTACCTAGATTCAGCCAAGGGTAGAGATTCAGCCAAGGGTACATTTTCTCTTGAGCAGATGGTCAGGGGGCCGGAACACAATTGCAAATAATTTGTAGACTGCAAATTGACCGTAAGAAGACCAAACAGATATAACTAAAAAAGAAAAATTGTCATAACTTGCTTATATTTGTATACGATCACATACAGTTGAAGTCAGAAGTTTACATACACCTTAGCCAAATACATTTAAACTCAGTTTTTCACAATTCCTGACATTTAATCCTAGTAAAAATTCCCTGTCTCAGGTCAGTTAGGATCACCACTTTATTTTAAGAATGTGAAATGTCAGAATAATAGTAGAGAGAATTATTTCTTTCAGCTTTTATTTCTTTCATCACATTCCCAGTGGGTCAGAAGTTTACATACACTCAATTAGTATTTGGTAGCATTGCCTTTAAAATTGTTTAACTTGGGTCAAACGTTTCAGGTAGCCTTCCACAAGCTTCCCACAATAAGTTGGGTGAATTTTGGCCCATTCCTCCTGACAGAGCTGGTGTAACTGAGTCAGGTTTGTAGGCCTCCTTGCTCCCACACGCCTTTTCAGTTCTGCACATACTTCCACACATTGTCTATAGGACCGAGGTCAAGGCTTTGTGATGGCCACTCCAATACCTTGACTTTGTTGTCCTTAAGCCATTTTGCCACAACTTTGGAAGTATGCTTGGGGTCAATGGTCATTTGGAAGACCCATTTGCGACCAAGCTTTAACTTCCTGACTGATGTCTTGAGATGTTGCTTCAATATATCCACATAATTTTCCCTTCCTCATGATGCCATCTATTTTGTGAAGTGCACGAGTCCCTCCTGCAGCAAAGCACCCCCACAGCATGATGCTGCCACCCCCGTGCTTCACGGTTGGGATGGTGTTCTTCAGCTTGCAAGCCTTCCCCTTTTTCCTCCAAACATAATGATGGTCATTATGGCCAAACAGTTCTATTTTTGTTTCATCAGACCAGAGGACATTTCTCAAAAAAGTACGATCTTTGTCCCCATGTGCAGTTGCAAACCGTAGTGTGGCTTTTTTATGGCGGTTTTGGAGCAGTGGCTTCTTCCTTGCTGAGCGGCCTTTCAGGTTATGTCGATATATGACTTGTTTCACTGTGGATATAGATACTTCTGTACCTGTTTCCTCCAGCATCTTCACAAGGTCCTTTGCTGTTGTTCTGGGATTGATTTGCACTTTTCGTACCAAATTACGTTTATCTCTAGGAGACAGAACGCGTCTCCTTCCTGAGCGGTATGACGGCTGCGTGGTCCCATGGTGTTTATACTTGCATTCAGGCGTTTGGAAATTGCTCCCAAGGATGAACCAGACTTGTGGAGGTCTACAATTTCTTTCCTGAGGTCTTGGCTGATTTCTTTTCATTTTCCCATGATGTCAAGCAAAGAGGCACTGAGTTTGAAGGTAGGCCTTGAAATACATCCACAGGTACACCTCCAATTGACTCAAATTATGTCAATTAGCCGATCAGAAGCTTCTAAAGCCATGACATCATTTTCTGGAATTTTCCAAGCTGTTTAAAGGCCCAGTCAACTTATTGAATGTAAACTTCTGACCCACTGGAATTGTGATACAGTGAATTCTAAGTGAAATAATCTGTCTGTAAACAATTGTTGGAAAAATGACTTGTGTCATGCACAAAGTAGATGTCCTAACCGACTTGCCAAAACTATAGTTTGTTAAAAAGAAATGTGTGGAGTGGTTGAAAAACAAGTTTTAATGACTCCAACCTAAGTGTATGTAAACTTCAGACTTCAACTGTACATATCTCTATTATGCGTGGGGAATACTTAGTAACAGATTTACCATCTTATGTTCAAAAAAAAAAAAAAAAAAATCCTGCTAACCTTGAGTGTTCTGTTGTGCCTTTGCAGCTCCCTACAGAGGGATTCCAGTTTGCTGCGCGCCAGGATGGCCTTGCTGTGCTCCTTCTTCAGGTGGTCCGTCTCCTGCACCAGCTGAGACTGTTTCTTCTGCAGGACACGCATTTGCTTTTGACTGTTCCGCTGCTCCTCCAGCTGCGCGCACACACACACACACACACACACATATACAGAGAGAGCAGTGGGGGGGACACACACTAGGTCATGCTTGAAGGTGCAAATTGAGAAAGATGCTAACGTCAAACACATCCAGAAATGGACACAGACACATTAGCCTGTCACAAACACATCCTCTTGATCAGTTATACACACTGGTATGATCTGTCACTTATTCACACCGCACATGTTATGGACACACAGGGCGGAGAGGAGAGACCGGCACTGCATCACAGATTCTTGAATCAGCGATAAATCCAGGACTAATTTCCATAGGGTAGGTCGCCCTGCGTTGAGCCGCCCTGTCCATTCCCCTGTAGGTCACCCTGCGTTGAGCCGCCCTGTCCATTCCCCTGTAGGTCACCCTGTCCATTCCCCTGTAGGTCACCCTGCGTTGAGCCGCCCTGTCCATTCCCCTGTAGGTCACCCTGCGTTGAGCCGCCCTGTCCATTCCCCTGTAGGTCACCCTGTCCATTCCCCTGTAGGTCACCCTGCGTTGAGCTGCCCTGTCCATTCCCCTGTAGGTCACCCTGCGTTGAGCCGCCCTGTCCATTCCCCTGTAGGTCACCCTGTCCATTCCCCTGTAGGTCACCCTGCGTTGAGCCGCCCTGTCCATTCCCCTGTAGGTCACCCTGTCCATTCCCCTGTAGGTCACCCTGTCCATTCCCCTGTAGGTCACCCTGCGTTGAGCCGCCCTGTCCATTCCCCTGTAGGTCACCCTGTGTTGAGCCGCCCTGTCCATTCCCGTGTAGGTCACCCTGCGTTGAGCCGCCCTGTCCATTCCCCTGTAGGTCACCCTGCGTTGAGCCGCCCTGTCCATTCCCCTGTAGGTCACCCTGCGTTGAGCCTCCCTGACCATTCCCCTGTAGGTCACCCTGTCCATTCCCCTGTAGGTCACCCTGCGTTGAGCCGCCCTGTCCATTCCCCTGTAGGTCACCCTGTGTTGAGCCGCCCTGTCCATTCCCGTGTAGGTCACCCTGCGTTGAGCCGCCCTGTCCATTCCCCTGTAGGTCACCCTGTGTTGAGCCGCCCTGTCCATTCCCGTGTAGGTCACCCTGCGTTGAGCCGCCCTGTCCATTCCCCTGTAGGTCACCCTGCGTTGAGCCGCCCTGTCCATTCCCCTGTAGGTCACCCTGTCCATTCCCCTGTAGGTCACCCTGCGTTGAGCCGCTCTGTCCATTCCCCTGTAGGTCACCCTGCGTTGAGCCTCCCTGTCCATTCCCCTGTAGGTCACCCTGCGTTGAGCTGCCCTGTCCATTCCCCTGTAGGTCACCCTGCGTTGAGCCGCCCTGTCCATTCCCGTGTAGGTCACCCTGCGTTGAGCCGCCCTGTCCATTCCCCTGTAGGTCACCCTGCGTTGAGCCGCCCTGTCCATTCCCCTGTAGGTCACCCTGTCCATTCCCCTGTAGGTCACCCTGCGTTGAGCCTCCCTGTCCATTCCCCTGTAGGTCACCCTGTCCATTCCCCTGTAGGTCACCCTGCGTTGAGCCGCCCTGTCCATTCCCCTGCATGATGACCAGACAGACAGAGACAGACACAGGAGACAAACTACTGGCTGATACACAGATGGAGGCTAGAAATAAGAGGGCTGCTAGCATGCTAAAATGAAATAAATAAAAGTGATTTTCTAAACCAACAGCCTTAGAGCCACACACACACACACACACCAGACCGGAGTCAAAGCGTTTATGAGAGTTACTACTCACCAGCTCAGCATACTTCTTACAGAGGCCTGACAGTTTCTCCTCTGGTGTACTCAGAGTATTCAGGGTCTGCATCAGCAGGGTGATCTCTTTACCTGCAACACACAGGAGGGGGAAGACATTCAGTGCAACACCACCTCATCACAACAGGGACCCAGCAACACACAAGGGGAAGCTGTCCAGACCTAAACCAATCCCTAGCCACCACTCATATGACTAAAAGAATCGGATGGATGACGGCTAGATATTAGTGACCAATATAGATGGGTAGCAGCTCCACGTCGTTCTTCAGGCCACTGACCTCCACCCAGAACCAGTCCTTACCCAGCCCCTTCACCTTCTTCTTCAGGCCACTGACCTCCACCCAGAACCAGTCCTTACCCAGCCCCTTCACCTTCTTCTTCAGGCCACTGACCTCCACCCAGAACCAGTCCTTACCCAGCCCCTTCACTAGGGGTTGATTTCAGACAGAGCAACAGAACCAGTCCTTACCCAGCCCCTTCACTAGGGGTTGATTTCAGACAGAGCAACAGAACCAGTCCTTACCCAGCCCCTTCACTAGGGGTTGATTTCAGACAGAGCAACAGAACCAGTCATTACCCAGCCCCTTCACTAGGGGTTGATTTCAGACAGAGCAGCAGAACCAGTCCTTACCCAGCCCCTTCACCTTCTTCTTCAGGCCACTGACCTACACCCAGATCAACGACAAGCATCTAGGAATTGGCCCTAGGGGTTGATTTCAGACAGAGCAGCAGAACCAGTCCTTACCCAGCCCCTTCACTAGGGGTTGATTTCAGACAGAGCAACAGAACCAGTCCTTACCCAGCCCCTTCACTAGGGGTTGATTTCAGACAGAGCAACAGAAACCAGTCCTTACCCAGCCCCTTCACTAGGGGTTGATTTCAGACAGAGCAACAGAACCAGTCCTTACCCAGCCCCTTCACTAGGGGTTGATTTCAGACAGAGCAACAGAACCAGTCCTTACCCAGCCCCTTCACTAGGGGTTGATTTCAGACAGAGCAGCAGAACCAGTCCTTACCCAGCCCCTTCACTAGGGGTTGATTTCAGACAGAGCAGCAGAACCAGTCCTTACCCAGCCCCTTCACTAGGGGTTGATTTCAGACAGAGCAACAGAACCAGTCCTTACCCATCCCCTTCACTAGGGGTTGATTTCAGACAGAGCAGCAGAACCAGTCCTTACCCAGCCCCTTCACTAGGGGTTGATTTCAGACAGAGCAACAGAACCAGTCCTTACCCAGCCCCTTCACTAGGGGTTGATTTCAGACAGAGCAACAGAACCAGTCCTTACCCAGCCCCTTCACTAGGGGTTGATTTCAGACAGAGCAACAGAACCAGTCCTTACCCAGCCCCTTCACTAGGGGTTGATTTCAGACAGAGCAACAGAACCAGTCCTTACCCAGCCCCTTCACTAGGGGTTGATTTCAGACAGAGCAACAAAACCAGTCCTTACCCAGCCCCTTCACTAGGGGTTGATTTGAGACAGAGCAACAGAACCAGTCCTTACCCAGCCCCTTCACCTTCTTCTTCAGGCCACTGACCTACACCCAGAACCAGTCCTTACCCAGCCCCTTCACTAGGGGTTGATTTCAGACAGAGCAACAGAACCAGTCCTTACCCAGCCCCTTCACTAGGGGTTGATTTCAGACAGAGCAACAGAACCAGTCCTTACCCAGCCCCTTCACTAGGGGTTGATTTCAGACAGAGCAACAGAACCAGTCCTTACCCAGCCCCTTCACCTTCTTCTTCTCCTGAAGCTTCACCTTCTCCTTCTCCGCTCCGCCGGCATTCACTTTGACCTCCTCCGGCTTGACGTCCAGCTCCTTCTCATTGGCCAGGCCGTTGAGCACGGGGCCGTGTGATTGGCCGTTGGGCAGGTTAACCCCGTCCTCCCCGTTGTCCTCCAGGCAGTAGGTGTTGAGGATGTCCTCCAGCTGGCGGCTCAGCACCTCAACCATGTCACACTGAGACGACACCCCCTCCGCTATGGTGGAGACTGGGACTGGGAGGGGGACAGGTTCTGCTATGGTGGAGACTGGGACGGGGAGGGGGGCAGGGTCGGCTATGGTGGAGACTGGAACGGGGAGGGGGGCAGGGTCGGCTATGGTGGAGACTGGGACGGGGAGGGGGACAGGGTCGGCTATGGTGGAGACTGGGACGGGGAGGGAGGCAGGGTCGGCTATGGTGGAGACTGGGACGGGGAGGGGGACAGGTTCTGCTATGGTGGAGACTGGGACGGGGAGAGGTTCTGCTATGGTGGAGACTGGGACGGGGAGGGGGACAGGGTCTGCGATGGTGGAGACTGGGACGGGGAGGGGGGCAGGGTCTGCTATGGTTGGGACGGGGAGGGGGACAGGTTCTGCTATGGTGGAGACTGGGATGGAAGCAGGCTCTTCTACAGGTGGGACCGCAGGGAGGGCTGCAGACTCTGCTGTGTTGGGAAAGGCAGCCACCTTAGCCACTACACACAGGAGGGAAGGAAAGAGCTGTTATTGCAGCACTTTAGTTTAACAATTATTTATTGGACTTTGTAAGAACAACAACATGTTTTACATTTTAGTCATTTAGCAGACGCTCTTATCCAGAGCGACTTACAGTTCGTGAATACATATTTTTTTATACTGGCCCCCCGTGGGAATCGAACCCACAACCCTGGCGTTGCAAACGCCATGCTCTATCAACTGAGCTACATCCCTGCCGGCCATTCCCTCCCCTACCCTGGACGACGCTGGGCCAATTGTGCGCCGCCCATGAGTCTCCCGGTCGCGGCCGGCTGCGACAGAGCCTGGATTCGAACCAGGATCTCAAATACTCAAAGAACAACAAAGAAACACAACAGATACGGTGAGATGTGAGCTAGAGGTCTTCACGGATCCACTTGTACCCGAATACCCCCGTGAGGGTACGTTTCCAGAATTCTGTCACGGTCTGGGTCGGATCTGATATGATTGTCACGGGTCTCAGGGTAGGATACAGATTTTCATATCGTCATACGGCCCTTCTCTCACCCCGGGATTTACAGCATCACCGGCTTAGTACACAAGAAGCCCATCGGGCGTCTATTACCAGAATGCTAACAAAATTACCACAAGTAATAGCGAATTTCCATTGAGGCTGCTAGCTAAATATGCTAATGAGCCAAAAATAAATAATTAGCAAAAGACAGCAATCTAGTTCTACATATATTGTTAGGAACTACTGAATGTCCTTTTTGGTGAGTTTGGACATTTACAAGCGAATGTGAATGAGACATTGTGCACATGAATAGTACTGGATCTTGAGCAGCATGTCGTGGTCAAAAGTTGAGAGAATGACACAAATACTAATTTTCACAAAGTCTGCTGCCTCAGTTTTGATGAAGGCAATTTGCATATACTCCAGAATGTCATGAAGAGTGATCAGATGAACTGCAATTAATTGCAAAGTCCCTCTTTGCCATGAAAATGAACTTAATCCCCCAAAAAACATTTCCACTGCATTTCAGCCCTGCCACAAAAGGACCAGCTGCCATCATGTCAGTGATTCTCTCGTTAACAGAGGTGAGAGTGTTGACGAGGACAAGGCTGGAGATCACTCTGTCATGCTGTTGAGTTAGAATAACCGACTGGTAGCTTTAAAATCAAATCAAATCAAATTTTATTGGTCACATGCGCCGAATACAACAGGTGCAGACATTACAGTGAAATGCTTACTTACAGCCCTTAACCAACAGTGCATTTATTTTAAACAAAAAAAGTAAGAATAAAACAACAACAAAAAAAGTGTTGAGAAAAAAAGAGCAGAAGTAAAAATAAAGTGACAGTAGGGAGGCTATATATACAATAGAATAAAGTGACAGTAGGGAGGCTATATATACAGGGGGGTACCGTTGCATAGTCAATGTGCGGGGGCACCGGCTAGTTGAGGTAGTTGAGGTAATATGTACATGTGGGTAGAGTTAAAGTGACTATGCATAAATACTTAACAGAGTAGCAGCAGCGTAAAAAGTATGGGGTGGGGGGGCAGTGCAAATAGTCCGGGTAGCCATGATTAGCTGTTCAGGAGTCTTATGGCTTGGGGGTAGAAGCTGTTGAGAAGTCTTTTGGACCTAGACTTGGCACTCCGGTACCGCTTGCCGTGCGGTAGCAGAGAGAACAGTCTATGACTAGGGTGACTGGAGTCTTTGACAATTTTGAGGGCCTTCCTCTGACACCGCCTGGTATAGAGGTCCTGGATGGCAGGGAGCTTTGCCCCTGTGATGTACTGGGCCGTACGCACTACCCTCTGTAGTGCCTTGCGGTCAGAGGCCAAGCAGTTGCCATACCAGGCGGTGATGCAACCAGTCAGGATGCTCTCGATGGTGCAGCTGTAGAATTTTTTGAGGATCTGAGGACCCATGCCAAATCTTTTTAGTCTCCTGAGGGGGAATAGGCTTTGTCGTGCCCTCTTCACGACTGTCTTGGTGTGTTTGGACCATGATAGTTCGTTGGTGATGTGGACACCAAGGAACTTGAAGCTCTCAACCTGTTCCACTACAGCCCCGTCGATGAGAATGGGGGCGTGCTCAGTCCTCTTTTTTTTCCTGTAGTCCACAATCATCTCCTTTGTCTTGGTCACGTTGAGGGAGAGGTTGTTGTCCTGGCACCACACGGCCAGATCTCTGACCTCCTCCCTATAGGCTGTCTCATCGTTGTCGGTGATCAGGCCTACCACTGTTGTGTCGTCGGCAAACTTAATGATGGTGTTGGAGTCGTGCCTGGCCATGCAGTCATGGGTGAACAGAGAGTACAGGAGGGGACTGAGCACGCACCCCTGAGGGGCCCCCGTGTTGAGGATCAGTGTGGCAGATGTGTTGTTACCTACCCTTACCACCTGGGGGCGGCCCGTCAGGAAGTCCAGGATCCAGTTGCAGAGGGAGGTGTTTAGTCCCAGGATCCTTAGCTTAGTGATGAGCTTTGAGGGCACTATGGTGTTGAATGCTGAGCTGTAGTCAATGAATAGCATTCTCACGTAGGTGTTCCTCTTGTCCAGGTGGGAAAGGGCAGTGTGGAGTGCGATAGAGATTGCATCATCTGTGGATCTGTTGGGGTGGTATGCAAATTGGAGTGGGTCTAGGGTTTCTGGGATTATGCTGTTGATGTGAGCCATGACCAGTCTTTCAAAGCACTTCATGGCTACAGACGTCAGTGCCACGGGTCGGTAGTCATTTAGGCAGGTTATCTTAGAGTTCTTGGGCACGGGGACTATGGTGGTCTGCTTGAAACATGTTGTTATTACAGACTCAGTCAGGGACATGTTGAAAATGTCAGTGAAGACACTTGCCAGTTGGTCAGCACATGCTCGGAGTACACGTCCTGGTAATCCGTCTGGCCCTGCGGCCTTGTGAATGTTGACCTGCTTAAAAGTCTTACTCACATCGGCTACGGAGAGCGTGATCACATAGTCGTCCGGAACAGCTGGTGCTCTCATGCATGCTTCAGTGTTGCTTGCCTCGAAGCGAGCATAGAAGTGGTTTAGCTCGTCTGGTAGGCTTGTGTCACTGGGCAGCTCGCGGCTGTGCTTCCCTTTGTAGTCTGTAATAGTTTTCAAGCCCTGCCACATCCGACGAGCGTCAGAGCCAGTGTAGTATGATTCAATCTTAGACCTGTATTGACTCTTTGCCTGTTTGATGGTTCGTCGGAGGTCATAGCGGGATTTCTTATAAGCGTCCGGGTTAGAGTCCCGTTCCTTGAAAGCGGCAGCTCTACCCTTTAGCTCAGTGCGGATGTTTCCTGTAATCCATGGCTTCTGGTTGGGGTATGTACGTACGGTCACTGTGGGGACGACATCATCGATGCACTTATTGATGAAGCCAGTGACTGATGTGGTGTACTCCTCAATGCTGTCTGAAGAATCCCGGAACATGTTCCAGTCTGTGCTAGCAAAACAGTCCTGTAGCTTAGCATCTGCGTCATCTGACCACTTTTTTATTAGCCGAATCACTGGTGCTTCCTGCTTCAGTTTTTGCTTATAAGCAGGAATCAGGAGGATAGAGTTATGGTCAGATTTGCCAAATGGAGGGCGAGGGAGAGCTTTGTATGCGTCTCTGTGTGTGGAGTAAAGGTGGTCTAGAGTTTTTTCCCCTCTGGTTGCACATTTAACATGCTGGTAGAAATTAGGTAGAACGGATTTAAGTTTCCCTGCATTAAAGTCCCCTGCTACTAGGAGCGCTGCATCTGGATGAGCGTTTTCCTGTTGATTAATGGCCTTGTACAACTCATTCAGTGCAATCTTAATGCCAGCATTGGTTTGTGGTGGTAAATAGACAGCTATGAAAAATATAGATGAAAACTCTCTTGGTAAATAGTGTGGTCTGCAGCTTATCATAAGATACTCTACCTCAGGCGAGCAAAACCTTGAGACTTCCTTAGTATTTGATTTGGTGCACCAGCTGTTGTTTACAAATATACAGAGACCGCCACCCCTCGTCTTACCCGAGTCTGCCGTTCTGTCCTGCCGATGTAGCGTATAGCCTGCTAGCTGAATGTTAAAAGGAGGGTGGTGCTTGAAATCATTGTTCTTCCTCTGTTAGCCATGGTTACCTGTAAGTTAGCCGTAGTTGGCTAGCTAGCAAGCAAGGGATACGAACGTTGCCAGCCAGTATGGCAATGAAACATTTAGAACGAACGACCATAGATACAGAACAAAAAGACTGAACGACTGGGTCGCGTCTCTAGCAACTGAACCAATAGAACAAAACCATGGAAGATGGAATTAAAAGTTAAAGGGGAAGGACAGGCTACAACGACTAAGAGCCAACAGGTAGGCTGCTACTTAATATTCTGAATAGAGTTGTTTGTAACTGTGTAGGATGAGAAAGCACATGCAGCCTCAGTTAGCCTAGCCAGTTAACGTTAGCTAGCTTAACTAGCTTCTCCCGGTTTGATGCAGTCCAGACAGGTACTACGTAATCGTATTGGATGATACATAACTTAGCTATGGCAGCTATTTACATTTACATCATTTAGCAGACGCTGTTATCCAGAGCGACTTACAAATTGGTGCATTCACCTTATGATAGCCAGTGGGATAACCACTTTACAATTTATTTATTTCATATTTTTCTAATTTTTTTAGGTTTTATTTTTGGAGCATATTTTTAATTTTCATTTGTTTTATAAATATATATATATGTTTTTATTTATTCGTTTTTATTTTGTGGGGGTAGGGTAGGTAGAAGGATTACTTTTATACTATCCCAGGTATTCCTTAAAGAGGTAGGGTTTCAAGTGTCTCCGTAAGGTGGTCAGTGACTCCGCTGTCCTGGCGTCGTGGGGGAGCTTGTTCCACCATTGGGGTGCCAGAGCAGCAAACAGTTTTGACTGGGCTGAGCGGGAACTGTGCTTCCGTAGAGGTAGGGGGGCCAGCAGGCCAGAGGTGGAAGAACGAGAAGCTATTAGTCTACTATAGCGCGTGTCGGCTTGGTTGACTGCTGTCTCTAGTCTCTCCCTCCCGCCTCCCTGTTCCCGTGTCACAGTGGCCTACACACACGGCTCCTGCTAGACCATCACCTCTCACGGTCTATCAGCTCTGGTTAATAAAGTAGCTTGACTTTTCTGCTGTTGCCCCTCACTTGGATCCAACCAGGTTTATAGGAAACGGGTCTAGTTGGGGTCGGGTCCGTTCTGAACAGAACAGTTCTCCATTTAACTGATAATGCCGGAGAAGCCGGTGTTTGGAAGATATATATTGGCACGGGTGTTGTGCCAATATATCCTCCAAACACCGGCTTCTCAGGCATTATCACTTTTAATACAACGGGTTACCAACATATTCAAATAATGATTGACATAGTTTCATAAAAAACTTTATTTTTATGAATTTATTCAGACTACTTCAACCTTCCACAAGATGTAGTCCCGACACAAATCTAGGGTTGCTACCCAAGCCGGCTGGTCGTTTGTTCTATTGGTTCAGTTGCTAGAGATGCGACCCAGTCGTTCAGTCTTTTTGTTCTGTATCTATGGTCGTTCGTTCTAAGTGTTCCATTGCCATACTTGCTGGCAACGTTCATATCCCTTGCTTGCTAGCCAACTATGGCTAACTTACATTCACTTCAAAAAGTGCAGCCGGAATAACAGCAAATTAGCTGCATTTGCATAAATTGTTTTCTAGTGAAATTTATTTGGATACATCCATAACAATGAGCTAATGAGGCATGATTTCGCCTGCCCTGCCTTTCGAAGGTTTTTGAAAGCCAAGTTAACAAACAGATCACCAACCATTTCGAATCACACCGTACCTTCTCCGCTATGCAATCCGGTTTCCGAGCTGGTCATGGGTATACCTCAGCCCCGCTCAAGGTCCTAAACGATATTATAACCGCGATTGATAATAGACAGTACTGTGCAGCCGTCTTCATCGACCTGGCCAAGGCTTTCGACTGTCAACCACTGCATTCTTATTGGCAGACTAAATAGCCTTGGTTTCTCAAATGAATGCCCCGCCTGGTTCACCAACTACTTCTCAGATAGAGTTCAATGTGTCAAATCGGAGGGCCTGTTGTCTGGACCTATGGCAGTCTCTATGGGGGTGCCACAGCGTTCAATTCTCGGGCCGACTCTATTCTCTGTGTATATCAACGATGTCGCTCTTGCTGCTGGTGACGCTCGGATCCACCTCTATGTGGACGACATCATTTGGTATACATCTGGACCTTAATTGGACACTGTTAACAAACCTCCAAACGAGCTTCAATGCCATACAACACTCCTTCCATAGCCTCCAACTGCTCTTAAAAACACTAGTAAAACTAAATGCATGCTCTTCAACCGAACGCTGCTTGCACCCGCCCACCCGACTAGAATCACTACTCTCGACGGGTCTGACCTAGAGTATGTGGACAACTACAAATACCTAGGTGTCTGGTTAGACTGTAAACTCTCCTTCCAGACTCACATTAAGAATCTCCAATCCAAAGTTAGATCTAGAATTGGCTTTCTATTTCACAACAAAGCCTCCTTCACTCATGCTGCCAAACATGCCCTCGTAAAACTGACTATCCTACCGATCCTTGACTTCGGCAATGTCATTTCCAAAATAGCCTCCAACACTCTACTCAGCAAATTGGATGTAGTCTATCACAGTGCCATCCGTTTTGTCACCAAAGCCCCATATACTACCCACCATTTTGACCTGTACGCTCTTGTTGGCTGGCCCTCACTACATATTCGTCGCCAAACCCACTGGCTCCAGGTCATCTATAAATCACTGCTAGGCAAATCCCTGTCTTATCTTAGCTCACTATAGCAACACCAACACGTAGTCTGCGCTCCAGCAGGTATATCTCACTGGTCATCCCCAAAGCCAACACCTCCTTTGGCCGCCATTCCTTCCAGTTCTCTGCTGCCAATGACTGGAACGAACCTCAAAAATCTCTGAAGCTGGAGACTCTTATCACCATCACTAACTTTAAGTGTCAATTGTCAGAGCAGCTTACCGATCACTGCACCTGTACACAGCCCATCTGTAATTAGCCCACCCAACTACCTCATCCCTATATTGTTATTTATATTGCTAATTTGCACCCAAGTATCTATTTGCACATCTATCATTCCAGTGTTAATACTAATTGTAACTATTTTGCACTATGGCCTATTTATTGCCTTACCTCCATAACTTACTACATTCGCACACACTGTATATATACACACTGCTCAAAAAAATAAAGGGAACACTTAAACAACACAATGTAACTCCAAGTCAAACACACTTCTGTGAAATCAAACTGTCCACATAGGAAGCAACACTGATTGACAATAAATTTCACATGCTGTTGTGCAAATGGAATAGACAACAGGTGGAAATTATTGGCAATTAGCAAGACACCCCCAATAAAGAAGTGGTTCTGCAGGTGGTGACCACAGACCACTTCTCAGTTCCTATGCTTCCTGGCTGATGTTTTGGTCACTTTTGAATGCTGGCGGTGCTTTCACTCTAGTGGTAGCATGAGACGGAGTCTACAACCCACACAAGTGGCTCAGGTAGTGCAGCTCATCCAGGATGGCACATCAATGCGAGCTGTGGCAAGAAGGTTTGCTGTGTCTGTCAGCGTAGTGTCCAGAGCATGGAGGCGCTACCAGGAGACAGGCCAGTACATCAGGAGACGTGGAGGAGGCCGTAGGAGGGCAACAACCCAGCAGCAGGACTGCTACCTCCGCCTTTGTGCAAGGAGGAGCAGGAGGAGCACTGCCAGAGCCCTGCAAAATGACCTCCAGCAGGCCACAAATGTGCATGTGTCTGCTCAAACGGTCAGAAACAGACTCCATGAGGGTGGTATGAGGGCCCGACGTCCACAGGTGGGGGTTGTGCTTACAGCCCAACACCGTGCAGGACGTTTGGCATTTGCCAGAGAACACCAAGATTGGCAAATTCGCCACTGGCGCCCTGTGCTCTTCACAGATGAAAGCAGGTTCACACTGAGCACATGTGACAGACATGACAGAGTCTGGAGAGGCCGTGGAGAACGTTCTGCTGCCTGCAACATCCTCCAGCATGACCGGTTTGGCGGTGGGTCAGTCATGGTGTGGGGTGGCATTTCTTTGGGGGGCCGCACAGCCCTCCATGTGCTCACCAGAGGTAGCCTGACTGCCATTAGGTACCGAGATGAGATCCTCAGACCCCTTGTGAGACCATATGCTGGTGCGGTTGGCCCTGGGTTCCTCCTAATGCAAGACAATGCTAGACCTCATGTGGCTGGAGTGTGTCAGCAGTTCCTGCAAGAGGAAGGCATTGATGCTATGGACTGGCCCGCCCGTTCCCCAGACCTGAATCCAATTGAGCACATCTGGAACATCATGTCTCGCTCCATCCACCAACGCCACGTTGCACCACAGACTGTCCAGGAGTTGACATGCGGTAATGATGTTTTAAATTATTGTGATAGGCTCACGTTTTACCAGTATGACATATCCCCACTATTTAAGCCGGACCGGTTTACTTTCACCTTTGTAGTAAATCGCCATGTAATAGTCAGTTGAAAAATTGCTGCCGGTGCTTTACACTAGCTAAGGTGTACCGGCTGTATGGGAGCATTCACATATACCATCACAATGTATAGCTACGCTGCTGCCATAGTTGTGATGCTTTGCGGTCGGAACAGTCCTGCCTATGTGTACTAGGGTTGAAGGGCGGGAACCCGGTTACTGAGATTTACAGCCCAAAACCACTCCCCTTTCCCGGGTTAAATAACTGCGAGATTATAATAAAATTATTTCTATGAACAGCATGATGTGAAATGGAACTGTAATTATATGTGATGTCTAAATCTGGCTTCTCTACTATCTGCATTACGAATCATCAACGCTCAGGGTGGGGACAGACAGCCCATCTCAGTATGGAGCGAGTTCACAATGCATGTAGACCGATCATGGTAACTTCTATTTCTTGTGACAGGTAGGCCTGCATTTCCTGCAGCACAGTCTATACTACAGTAATATAAGGACCGAATGCGTGTCTAATTCACCCATCTCCATCTGGCTTTCGGGGGTCACATTATTATTATTTATTTTTTATTGTGAAGATTTGTTTTATTTTTTTATTGCTGCTGCAGTTACAGCCTATCACTCGAATATCGTTGCTTTAAATCAGCGCACGTGCGAGCACTCTCGCAGTCTCTCTCCATAAACTCCATAAAAATTGCATCCAAAATAAATAACCCTGATCCATCTATAGATGTCCTAGCCGACCTCTTTCAGGTAATACATTTAATGCACTATTAGCCTTATTTAGTTAATGATGGGTTATGCAAAATAAGCGTATAACTTAGCCTATAGCCTCAGTCTCTTGCGCAATGTGCTCCGCTGGCCTTTCTCCTTAAACTTCCTTAGCTCTTGGGAGTCCCACGCAGGAAAAGCTAGACTAGAATAGCTTGCTGGGAGTTTCTTCTACCAATAGACTATTCGAAAGAGGGACGCAAGCTCTAGTTTGCTGAATGTTAAATACAGCAGCCAATAGAACTCACGGGTAGTTTGAAAGAAGAGCGAACGCGCGATATGCTATAGCAGTTATTTATTCAGACCCACAACCATTCAATCTTCATGAAGAGAAGTGAAAGCCTCCTGCATCTAATTCTAGTCCTATATTATTCAAGGATGTCATTAGAATGATGATAAGGACAACAAAACGTATTTCATTTAACGGTTGAAAGCGAGGAAGGAATGAAGTAACAATAGAGAGGGGAGGTGGTAACATTTGGGGAACTATTATGAAAGGTATATAAGCGTCAGTCTACTAATTACACCAATAGGCCCTATTTATATTTCTAAATTAAAATCTAATTCACTAGCCTATACTTATAACTTTGTAGGCCGCATGTTCCCTCCCTACTTTATCATGGTTTGAAAGATGTGCATAATTCCAGTCCATATAATACAATACAGTACAGTAATACAGTTCACACTCAAAAAGATTAGCCTACTGGAGCTAGTTTCATTTATTTACCCAAGAGAGCATAGAGCTAGCTACATCTATGGGCTTTTATGTTTTTCTGTATTGGATAACGGCACAATCATTTGGGCTTTTTTGGGCTCGGGCTCATTAAACGTCTAATGTATGGCTCATTAAATGTATTTAGTTTATGGCTCATCAGCCTCAGGTAGCATCAGACTTGAATTTTCGATCAAAGCTCTAATCAAATCCAGACACAGGCCTATTTATAGGCTTTATAATGCTAGTGTTATTAGTTCCATCACATCATGGGGCGGCAGGTAGCTTAGTGGTTAAGAGCGTTGTGCCAGTAACCGAAAAGTCGCTGGTTCTAATCCCCGAGCCGACAAGGTTAAATATCTGTCGATGTGCCCTTGAGCAAGGCACTCAACCCTAATTGTTCCTGTAAGTCGCTCTGGATAAGAGCGTCTGCTAAATGACTAAAAAATTTAAATGTAATTGACAACCAATGACAGTGCTAACTTTACCTGAACTTTCAGCCCCATCAGCCTGTGAAGGTCTGTCTGGCTCTGGTTCTGGACGGTTGCCGGTGTCTAAAACGTATTTTTGGCTACTGGTCTCTGAAACATCTTTTACCGCTGTGCCAGGTGGTGGTGGTGCCGTGTCCCTGCCCTGCGTGGCCGACTCTTCAGTGTCCTCTTTCTTCATGATGAAATGCCTGCAACATATTATTCAAATGTTCATCGATCATTATGTTTGTATAAGAAAATGTCAAACAGTGGCGTCTGTTACAGATCCGAATATTCAAATGTTCGCAAGCCATTATAACACGTTGCACCTGCGCTTGAGAAAAGCAAGAAACGGAACTGCCAAACGTCAGTCACCGGTAATCACGTTTATACTAATGTGAAATGTATCTGAAATGGCGAACGACAGCTAACGTTAGCTAGTTATCCAGCATAGCAACGAAAAAATGTGGTTTGCTACAGCAACGAAGTTACATTTTCAACACGGCCAAAGTCTAGCTAGCTATATACTATAGAATAGTTGACAATTTTGTTTAAGTCATCAACTCACTAGCTTTGTCTTGCAAGTGAAACAAGACCCCTTCTATTAGCAACCAAATACATAGCTACTAGAAAGTGAAACTAGTTTAACATAAATGACAGTGCCGTTTAGAGGAATTAGCAAGCTATCTAATTTAGCTAGTTAGCATTTTGCTTTCTAGCTTGGCGCTACGCTAGGCAACAAACCAAAGAAACACGACACCTCATATCGCATAATCATTATTCATACTTGGAATAAGCTTTAGGTACTTTATTCTAAAATAAAAATGACAGTTTACCTTCTTGATCCAACTCAATAAATACACTTCTCTGTTGCCTGCTGCTTTTCCTCCTGCCAACCGACACAGGAAATACATAATGTACAACGGAAGTGCGTGGATAACAATTGCGGGAAAGTGGAATATGTCGTTCAAACGCACGACTCAGAACTACAAAAACGTTCATTCACAGCTTCTATACTGAACAAAAATATAAACGCAACAATTTCAAAATGTTTACTGAGTTACAGTTCACATAAGGAAATCAGTCAATTTTAATAAATTCATTAGGCCCTAATCTATTGATTTCACTTGACTGGGCAGGGGCGCAGCCATGGGTGGGCTTGAGAGGGCATAGGCCCACCCACTGAGGAGCCAGCCCAGCCAATCTGAATGAGTTTTTCCCCACAAAAGGGCTTTATTACAGACAGAAACACTCCTGTTTCATCAGCTGTCCGGGTGGCTAGTCTCAGAAGATAGCGCAGGTGAAGAAGCCAGATGTGGAGGTCCTGGGCTGGCGTGGTTACACGTGGCCAAAGGTTGTGAGGCCGGTTGGAAGTACTGCCAAACTCTCTAAAACAACATTGGAGGCGGCTTATGGTAGAGAAATGAACATTCAATTCTCTGGCAACAGCTCTGGTGGACATTCGTGCAGTCAGCATGCCAATTGCACGCTCCCTCAAAACTTGAGACATCTGTGGCATTGTGTTGTCACAAAACTGCACATTTTAGTGTCCTTTTATTGTCCCCAGTACAAGGGGCACCTGTGTAATGATCATGCTGTTTAATCAGCTTCTTGATATGCCACACCTGTCAGGTGGATGGATTTTCTTGGCAAAGGAGAAATGCTCACTAACAGGGATGTAAACAAATGTGTGCACATAATTTGAGAGAAATAAGCTTTTTGTGCATATGGAACATTTCTGGGATCTTTTATTTCAGTTCATGAAACATGGGACCAACACTTTACATGTTGCGTTTATATTTTTGTACAGTATAGTTTATTCTTACACATGCGGCAGCAAAATGTATTGGTTTCTTTTTGTAATTCAAAAAACATGATCAAGCAATGGAAAACCAACAGCAGACAAAGGGTTGCAACATTTTTATATATATATTTTATATATACAGTTTCCACTGAACAACTTTTTCCATTTGTACACATTTCCAATATTTGTTAATGCATTTGTTTTGTTTCTGTAATCCTGTTTGTGTGGCATATTCAGTTGAAGCGTATCAGTATCTCCGTCACTCATTCATACCGTCGGTCAAGTCAAGTCACAGTATAAGATGGGTTAATAATAAAATATTTGTTTTGGAAATAAATACATTGCGAAAGAGAAATGAGGATCAGAGTATACATCAGGACTGGTCAGTTATGTCATATGAAAAATACTTTACAGACATTGTAGCATTGTAAACAATTGTAGCCTAGATAGCATTACTTATTTGACAAAACCCGAGCACTAAGGCGTGGCTTCGGAGACCATTAGTCGTCTCAGATATACACATTTACAGGATCTAGGACGGAAGACAAGGAAAGTCCAATTGAAATGTTATTTTTTATTCTTTTTCAAATCTATGCCTAGGGGTAGGGGTTTTTCCTGACCATAGGGCCTGACAGGGAAACACTATAGCAAATAATTAGAGCCTAGTATGCCCTCCCAAATGGCACCATATAGTGCACAATTTTTCACCACGGCCCATAGGTCACTGGTCAAAAGTAGAGCATTATAAATAGGGCCCTCAAACTCAACTCTGGACCCGAACCCAGTTTCACTGCATTATTTCATTGTTCCCCTCTAATCAGGGACTGATTTAGACCTGGGACACCAAGATGGGTGATTCCCCTCTAACCAGGGACCGATTTAGACCTGGGACACCAAGATGGGTGATTCCCCTCTAACCAGGGACCGATTTAGACCTGGGACACCAAAATGGGTGATTCCCCTCTAACCAGGGACCGATTTAGACCTGGGACACCAGGTGTGTGCAATTAATTATCAAGTAGAACAGAAAATACCTCTCCTGGTGATTTGGTCAGAAAAAACCTCCTGGCCCTTTACTATGCCATATGAAGCATTTCGGCACTTTGCAGAAGTCATTACACATGTGGATGATTCCTTCAGCTCTGTTAATTGCACTCTCAAAGAGGGGGGGTGGGGGGGAACCTGAATAAGAAGCCTGAATATGAAATGCTCTGTCCCAAATGCCACTATTCCCTATATAGTGTACTACTTTTGACCAGAGCCCCATGGACCCGTTCTAAAGTAGTGCACTAAATAGGGAATAGGGTGCACTTTGGGACGCAGCCTTAATCCCTGGGGATGGCTGACTTTTAGAGAATATTTATTGCAGGTCTGGTTGGTAGGTTGTTCATCCTCAGCCAATGATGTAGCTTCCGAGAAAACCGCTTCTGATTCGTTGTGCTAAATCAAGAGATAGCTGAAAGAAGTCTCTGGACAAGTGATTGGTTGTTTGGTTGATTGACTGGGTCTGGACAGCCAATGATAATGATTTACCCTCCATATCCAAGTCAATGTAACAGCAAAGCACCTCAAAAAGTCAAGAAAAAATAATGTAAAAACAAAAAAAAAAATGAGTCGTCTCCATTTTGAATTAGCGGTTAGTTGTCCGTGAGAAGATGGGTTAGACTCTGTTCAAACATGGAAGTTTAGGTTGAGAAGACCGTTCGGCAGGGTTTGGAACGTTAAGATGGCATATTTCTATATAGAACAAACATGCCTCTAACATGTAGAATAATGAATCACGTCGGCTCTATTTGTGGCATTTCTATCTTCAACATTTGGCTACTGAACGTTGGCCTGATATAACTGACCTGAACCTGGGCTGGGAGCTTTTCCAGACCATGTGACCTGACTAGGGGGAAAACTCCGGGCCCTAATGTGCAGTGCAGTCTGTCTCAGCCTAAAATTACACCTTTTCGAAATGAAACCCATATTTGGGCTGGCGGTCCCACAGTTGCATCAGCGTGAGCGTCTGCACAGGGAAAACAATGCATTAAACTGTAAGAAAATACCATCATTATTTAGTTAGATCAGTACGATAGAATAAATTAAGTCATTTTTTTTTTTGCCAATTAAAATGATTCCTCTGTTCTGACCCGATACCAACAGTTTTGGTGCAAAAGCAGTAAAGCCTGCCAGTTGTTTAGAGAAATCACGGCGAGAGATAAGATAAGGAAAATACAGCAGCAGTATTTTTTGCACTACATACGTGCACATTCAAGGACAAAAGGAGGAAGAAAAATGTCATATCAATCAATAGGTCAAAAGACATATATAATCAACCTCAAGTCTTTAGTTGGTCAGGATTGGCACTTTAGTGAATAGGAGTGCATTTTCATTTTTCACAATTATAAATATATATTTTATTTTTGTGTTTGATCCAATGATTTTTTTTATTTATATCTTACTATTCTGGTAGTCTCTGTTGATAGACTGCACACAAAAGTAGACTGAAAAACCAAGAACCAAAGAAGACTACTTTATATAAATGCCTCTTCACATGTTAGTTATATAGAGAAAGTTATTTAGCTCATTTTTCATACTTTCCTAGATTTATTTAGTCTCAAATGTCTGTTTGAAGCTCACTTGTTCTGTGGACAACCATTTCCCTTTAGAGAACCAAGGTGCATATACTCCTAAAATAGCCTATAGTCTGTGACCATTACTAGCTGCTCAATGTCAGATCAATGACAAGCTTAGTCTCTTACTAATTTGAATACATTTTGCATGTCAACCAAAGCACAACGTGTCCAAATCCATCGCAGCCCATGAATCATCATTGCAGAGATGTGAACATATAATAAAGGTAAGACATTGCATCAAGTCATGGCTCTCAACCTCAACAGGATCAACCTACCGAGACATCACGTCAGGTTGGACAATACAACCATAGGGGATGACTTGCTTATATAAACATGTGCAATGACAAGGGTCCTCTCATATCTAGCATATCAAGTACCCCCCCCCCCCCCCAAAAAAAAAGGAGGAAATCCTGCTGCGGTACAGATGCTTCAGACTTTGATAAAGTTTAAAATAAAACATATTTTAACCCATCTTCCACATCCACTTCCAATTCAGATTTTTGCTACCAAACAATCTCAAAAATCCAACTATTCTGATGTTGTTTAGCTCGACCCACCAGGGGAAATGGTGGATCCACAGAACAAGCTGCTACCAGCCTCCGATGGGACCATAATACATTGTACATACGTCACTTCCTCACACAGCGGCGGTCAGTCAAGCGGTCACACTACCAGACTTTTGAGCCATAGGCTCCACTCAACCTATAGACACTGATCTGAGTTCAGCTTTAATCCCCCCCCCACACACACATTCATATTTAAGGTTATGATTAAGGGAGGGTAAGCTGATTCTAGATCTGTGTCTAAGGGCATAACATCAAACCATCTTCAGTCATGTAGCGTAGATGAGAAATTAGACTTCCATAATATCAGGAAGTACACCACGCACTTCCTCAAGAAAATAACTAATGTCACCGTATCTCTAATATTCTTTAAGAGATATGAAAGGATGCTGTGAATGTGATGTTTCACTTAATAGAAAAGGAAAAAACATGAATAATCCTTTGTGTCATACCTTCCTTCTTCCGTATTAAATCTTATCAAAGAGCATTGCATTGTGGGTGGGTGCATTCTTTCATTAAAAAAATTATCTAATTGCATAACCTCAAAAGTGCCGAAAAGGAAGTGGCATAAACGATGCAAGAAAACCTTGAATGAACATACTGCATTCAAAACCCAACCTGTAGCAATTATAGCACAGAAAGAAAAAGGTGGATTATGGAAGTTGTTGCTCCTTGTTGTGTAGCACTCATCGGTGTGTACTGTCTGCTGGTGTTGTATGTGTGTGTGTGTGCATGAAGTATGTGTGCAAATACATTTTACTGGAAGTTCTGCGGTTAGGTTCGTCACGGTCTAAATTAAAAGACGTATCCCTTGCCAAAACCCTGGTTGTCGTTAGATCTATGTCTGATCTAGGGCCTTTCCTTCTGTCCAGAGGCTCCCTAGGTGGCTCCTGTCAAAACCACTGCACTAAGGGGAATACAGTGCAATTTAAAATGCATCCTATGAGAAGAATATAGGGGAGAGAATAATACATATAAATACCCAGTACATATCACCATCACAATGATACCCAGTACATATTACCATCACAATGATACCCAGTACATATCACCATCACAATGATACCCAGTGCATATCACCATCACAATGATACCCAGTACATATCACCATCACAATGATACCCAGTACATATCACCATCACAGTAATACCCAGTGCATATCACCATCACAATGATACCCAGTACATATCACCATCACAATGATACCCAGTGCATATCACCATCACAATGATACCTAGTACATATCACCATCACAATGATACCCAGTACATATCACCATCACAATGATACCCAGTACATATCACCATCACAATGATACCCAGTAGATATCACCATCACAATGATACCCAGTACATATCACCATCACAATGATACCCAGTACATATCACCATCACAATGATACCCAGTACATATCACCATCACAATGATACCCAGTACATATCACCATCACAATGATACCCAGTACATATCACCATCACAATGATACCCAGTACATATCACCATCACAATGATACCTAGGACTTATCACCATCACAGTAATACCTAGTACTTATCACCAAATGACGGTACATTTCCCCAAATTTAAAGAAATCCTGGTTGGAGGATTATGGATGTCCTGTTCATTTCCACCTGATTCCTGGGATTTTTTTAGCCAGGATTTGTGGAAAACCTGGGAATTTTGGGAAAGGTACCGGATTTTTGCGACCCTACAACACGGTGATGTAGAATGCAACAACAACTGATATCAGATCTAACCTACACACAACCTAACCTAACCTCCACACAACCACCACACTATTACCCCACCACACTATTACCCCACCACTAACTAGAGAATACCATCTAATATGTGATAAACAACTCTGCCCCCTGCACTTACTCTTCTCAATGGGACATTAAGGAAAACTGACATATATTCTAATATATTGTTAGATTTTCTAAGACCTAAATTATGGCACTTTCTCTCTCCCCCCCCCCCCCCCCCCCCTCTCTCTCTCTCTCTCTCTCCCCCCTCCTCTTTCTTTTCATCCATCCCTCTTTCAACCATATTACCAGGTGTATTACCAGGTGTACTACCAGGTGTTTGGCAAAGGGATACTTTGTGACAGTAGGTAAGGCAATAGAAACACCATGCAAACCCTACCACAGACACATTGGGGGGCAGCAACACCACATCACATCCCAGGGCCTACTACAACTCAGCCAGCACCAATATATCTATTTACACCGGGGGCCAAGTCCCAAATGGCACCCTATCCCCTATATATTACACAACTTTTGAACAGGGCCCGTAGGGCTTTGGTCAAAGATACTGCACCATATAGGGAATAGGGTGCCATTTGGGACGCATTCCGGGCTTCAATGGAACAGAGAAATCCAAAAGGAAAAACTAAAAAGACCAAATCCTAACCGGACATTCAAGTGAGTAACTTAAATGTTATTTTTTCATAAATCTGATGTCGACATCTGATTTAGGTTTGACTGAGTCACGCGTGTTTTTCTCAAGTAAGGATTCATCCCTAATCCCTGTATGAAGAGCAACAATCCATTGAAAGCCAAATCAAGATCTGACAGTGTTTGTCTGTCTGTATTTATATATAAAAATAAGCTTGGTTTGGATAATGACATATTCTCGTGCTGTAGCTAGCGTAGGCCCCTGCCCCTTGCCGCCCCCCCAGCGGTGTGCTGTTTTTAATAGTTAGAATCACTTCATAATTCAAATGTATCGTTATTAAGAACACGGCACACAACAAACATTATATCGCTAGCTATATCAAGCTAGTAACCTAGGTAACATTATATATTTCAATAGGGTTCAATATCTACCCCCCCCAACCAAGGCCCACACCTAAACTCCCTTCCCCTTGCAGCCCCCCTCCCCAACTCAACACCCTCCCTTAGCCCAGACGTTTACCTGATTTTACGATTCAGACCCCAACATGCTCCTCCACAAGCACAAAATTAAAAGTAGCTAAAAGTTAAACAAAAGATAAATACATTGTAGAGAAAGGACTCTAGAAGGGGAGAACCTTGGCTTTACACTCCAAACCATAGTTCTAGAATTCCTAGGAATCCCCAGAATTGCTTAGTGGAACCCTGTATGTCCGATATAGACAGAAACCAATGTGAATGAGGGTTTGGCCTCCGAGTTGAGAATACAGCCGGATTGATTTATCGTTAACAGTAAAGAGACCATTCTTCTGTCTTGGGACACTTAAGTCTTTAGGTGGTACACTGAGATACAGGTACGTTTTAGAACAGGTCAGAGGGAAAAAGCAGGGCTGACGAAAGCTAAAACGAGGGGAAACTGATAAATAAGGACGAGGAAGACAATTGTCGTAAAAGAAAAGGGTAAAAATTAAATAACACTCCTCCCACTGGTCATGTTTGACCTATTAAACCCCCACATCCCGAAAGAGGACATCCCTATGGGCAGACAGGAAGCACAAAAAACCAAACCAAATCAAACCACCGCTACGGTCAGAAGAATCAGAGTATCAACAGTACTGGTGGTGTAGCTCTCATTGAATTTGTGTTTTTCAAACCTGGACCTGGTGTGAGATCACTGATCAGGAAGAGGTTTATTTTTATCATCAGGTCAGGTGGGTTGAGTTCAGCTCTCCTTTTGGCTCCTCAGCCGAGACGTGGCGTTCCGTTAGAAGTGTCTGATCTGTTAGCGTAGGTAAAGCCAGCTCAAAGATTGGGTATATAGGTTGGATAAAGAGTTACAGCTGTAAGCCTTCCATGGGATAGGAGGTGGAGGACAACGTTCCACCTTCCATGGGGGTTGGGGGATAGGAGGTGGATAAGGTTATCGCTGGGAAGGCTTCCATGGGGTTTGGGGAATAGTGGTGGGATATGGGTTGGATGATTGTTGATCATGGAAGGTCACAGGGAGAGAGGGGGGAGCACAGTGTGTAGCTGGAAACCCTTCATCTGTTGGGGCTAAAACTAGCCCTCGGCCTCAGGCTGGGTATTGAGGATGGAGTGATGGTTGGACATGGAGGGTAGAGGGAACCTATTATACCCCAAAGTCCTCCATGGGTAGAGGATATGGGGGTAGATGTTCTATCTGAAAGTCCTCCATGGGTAGAGGATATGGGGGTAGATGTTCTATCTGAAAGTCCTCCATGGGTAGAGGATATGGGGGTAGATGTTCTATCTGAAGGTCCTCCATGGGTAGAGGATATGGGGGTAGATGTTCTATCTGAAAGTCCTCCATGGGTAGAGGATATGGGGGTAGATGTTCCATCTATCTGAAGGTCCTCCATGGGTAGAGGATATGGGGGTAGATGTTCTATCTGAAAGTCCTCCATGGGTAGAGGATATGGGGGTAGATGTTCTATCTGAAAGTCCTCCATGGGTAGAGGATATGGGGGTAGATGTTCTATCTGAAAGTCCTCCATGGGTAGAGGATATGGGGGTAGATGTTCTATCTATCTGAAGGTCCTCCGTGGGTAGAGGATATGGGGGTAGATGTTCTATCTATCTGAAGGTCCTCCATGGGTAGAGGATATGGGGGTAGATGTTCTATCTATCTGAAGGTCCTCCGTGGGTAGAGGATATGGGGATAGATGTTCTATCTATCTGAAGGTCCTCCATGGGTCTGAGTGACGGTTGGTTAAGATTAACCAGATGAGAACCAGAGGGCAGGGAGGGCGTTATAGCTGAAAGCCCTCCATGGGTGCCTCCTGCTGGGGGAAGAGGAACTGCTGGTTGGCCTGGTCCACCTGAGGAGCCAGGCTCTGGTCCTCATCCTCCACTCCAAAGTAGTGCTCTATCAGGTCAAAGGCCTTCTGGTAGATCTCCTGGTTCTCATGGCTCTGAAGGAACTCTATCTTGTCCAGACCTGGAGATGGGGAGGAGGAGAAGGGGAAAGGTCAACATGATTTATTCATACACATGGCAGATTTATGTAAGTGTATGTATACGGAAGTGTGTGTGTCTGTACTGTATGAACGTGTTTGCATATACAGTGCATTCAGAAAGTATTCAGACCCCTTGACCTTTTCAACATTTTGTTAAGTTACAGCCTTATTCTAAAATTGATAATTATTTTTTTTATTCTCAACCATCTTCACACAATAATGACAAGGCTAAAAACAGGTGTAGACATTTTTGCACGTAAGTATTCAGACCCTTTGCTATGAGACTCGAAATTGAGCTCAGGTACATCCTGTTTCCATTGATCGTCCTTGAGATGTTTCTACAACTTGATTGGAGTCCACCTGTGGTAAATTCAATTGATTGGACATGATTTGGAAGGACACACCTATCTATATAAGGTCCCACAGTTGACAGTGCATGTCAGAGAAAAAACCAAGCCATGAGGTCGAAGGAATTGTCCGTAGAGCTCCGAGACAGGATTGTGTCGAGGCACAGATCTGGGGAAGGGTACCAAAACATTTCTGCAGTATTGAAGGTCCTCAAGAACACAGTGGCCTCCATCATTCTTAAATGGAAGAAGTTTGGAACCACCAAGACTCTTCCTAGAGCTGGCCGCCCCCGGCCAAACTGAGCAATCGGGGGAGAAGGGCCTTGGTCACTCTGACAGAGCTCCAGAGTTCCTCTGTGGAGATGGGAGAACCTTCTAGAAGGACAACCATCTCTGCAGCACTACACCAATCAGGCCTTTATGATAGAGCTGCCATACGGAATCCACTCCTCAGTAAAAAGGCACATGACAGCCAGCTTGGAGTTTGCCAAAAGGCACCAAAATGACTCTCAAACCATGAGAAACAAGATTCTCTGGTCTGATGAAACCAATATTTAACTATTTGGCCTGAATGCCAAGCGTCACACGTCTGGAGGAAACCTGGCACCATCTCTACGGTGAAGCATGGTGGCACCATCCCTACGGTGAAGCATGGTGGTGGCAGCATCATGCTGTGGGGATGTTTTCAGCGTCAGGGACTGGGAGACTAGTCAGGATCGAGGGAAAGATGAACGGAGCAAACCTGCTCCAGAGCACTCAGGACCTCAGACTGGGGCGAAGGTTCACCTTCCAACAGGACAACAACCCTAAGCACACAGCCAAGACAACGCAGGAGTGGCTTCGGGACAATTCTCTGAATGTCCTTGAGTGGCCCAGCCAGAGCCCGGACTTGAACATGATCGAACATCTCCGGAAAGACCTGAAAATAACTGTGGAGCGACGCTCCCCATCCAACCTGACAGAGTTTCAGAGGATCTGCAGAGAAGAATGGTAGAAACTCCCCAAATACAGGTGTGCCAAGCTTGTAGCGTCATACCCAAGAACCTGGACTATTAATTAATTAATTAATTAAATTAATAATTAATTAAGAAGACTAGGGGCTGTATTTACTGCCAAAGGTGCTTCATCAAAGTACTGAGTAAAGGGTCTGAGAACACTTATGTAAATGTAATATTTCAGTAATTCTTTTTTTACACAATGGCAAAAATGTCTAAAAAACTGTTGTTGCTTTGTCATTATGGGGTACTGTGTGTAGATTGATAAGGGGGAGAAAAAAAACAATTTAAACAATTTTAGAATAAGGCTGTAACGTAACAAAATGTGGAAAAAGTCAAGGGGTCTGAATACTTCCTGAATGAACTGAGGCCTCCTCTATGAGAGAGCAGTAGGGATTGATGTTTGTATATACGTACCATAGGCCTCCTCTATGAGAGAGCAGTAGGGATTGATGCCGGTACCGTTGGGTCCTGCATCCTGCTTGGCCTCTTGGTCTCCCAGTCTCAGAATGTTCTCCAGACCGTTCAGGGCCACCTGGACTATCTTACTGTCCATCACTGTCAACAGGTCACACAGAGGCTTGATACAGCCCAGGTTCACCAGGTACCTAGAGAGAACAGAGAGAGAGAACAGAGAGAGAGAGAGAGAGAGAAGAGAGAGAGAGAGAGAAGAAGAGAGAGAGAGAAGAGAGAGAGAGAGAAGAGAGGAGAGAGAGAGACAGAGAGACAGAGAGAGAACAGAGAGAGAAGAGACGAGAAGAGAGAGAGATTCTATACTAGGAATGGGTTTGGTAACAATCGGCAGACAGCTTGCCAAATGCAGCGGCCCTGAGACAGGAGTGTTAGTGTCTCGTGACATTCCACTGACAGAGGGAAAAAGAACTGCAAAGAAATTTAATATAGGCCTCAGACACACACGTTCACCAAGTATAGCTCCTGTCTGATATCACCGTGACAACGCGGGTATTTACGGATGCAAACCGTGGAAAAACAGCTAAGCCTGGAATCTCAGACCACACGAGGAGGAAGTGAGGAAAACATACACCTCTCCCTGACCCCTCCTTCTTTCCTATACTGAGCTGTGTTCGAATACTCATACTAACTGCACTAACCATACTATTTGTGACATAAATGTAATATGTAGTATGCTTATTGGTCATAGTATGGATATAGTTAGTATGCCAAAAGTTCGCCAAAATACGAAGTATACAAGCAGTGGACACTATTTCTGTGCTTTTAGGGCCCATAATGGGCGTGGCTTCACAACGTTTTCAGATTTGAAGAAAATGTTGGCTGACAATTTGTTAGCTACGCTATCCTTACGAACCGCATAGCATTACATTATGTACCGGTATGTTAGCTAGTTACCGTCCTAACGTTAGTTGGCTACTAATACATCGAACTTGCCAGGAAGTATATTAACTATATGCTATCGAACTAACTACCCAACATTTATTGCTTTGATTATTCACGTCATTCTTAGCTAAGTCGTATAGTCGTTGTGAGTTCTCAATGGACATGGTTAATTATGGCTATCTACTTCGATTTCAGAGCACTCGTCTGAGTGTGCCAGAGCGCAGAATAACTGATGAATTTACGAACGCTCAACACCCGTTGAATATGTCCGGTGTCAGTAAACGTTGGCAAAAACAAGCGTAATTAAATTGTTGCCAGCAGCACAGTTACAGCCAACAACGCTCTGGATAACATGAAAAGAGCCTAATCAGCTCTGCTAGGGTGAGTAAAATGGTCAGTGAGGTGTTCTCTCATTTGTGGCTGGAAGTAGCTAGCAAGCTACTTAGCCACAAGCTACTTAGCCAGTTAGCTTGGGCGCTTGACCGCCGTTGTGAGGTCAGAACGCTCGTATCAACCCTACTCCTCAGCGAACAGACAATCTGACAACGCTCTGAATTTACGCACTCTGGCACTCCAGATTGAATTTACGAACACACCCGAAATCGTAAAACGTCTAGCTAGTCATTTGTTATGCTAACAAGCTAGCAAGAGGTTGCATAGCAACAGCATCAACTTCCGGTAGACAGGCGAAGCGCTAGTACGCTCAACTGAAAGGATACCGTTAGTTTACAGTATAGTAAAATAAACTAATAGTATATAGTATATACTCATTAAGTATGTCGTATACAGTATATGTTAGTATGGGTATTCGAACACAGCTATGGACTAGGGTTCTTGACCCCTCCCTCTTTCCTATTTCTGACATGGACCAAGGATCTTTACACTTCCCACTCTTTCCTATACTGACATGGACCAAGGATCTTTACACTTCCCATGGTCAATCTCTGATCTGAAAGGACTATAGGTGAAAGCAATAACAGATCAATACCAATACAACAACCCCAGACACCTCTACCCTGCAGTACTAAAGGGCAACAGAGCTAGGCCTACACTATCTATAATCTAACTATACCAGCTGTCCTGGTGAGGTGGGTCATATCTAATCTGTCCTGGTGAGGTGGGTCATATCTAATCTGTCCTGGTGAGGTGGGTCATATCTAATCTGTCCTGATGAGGTGGGTCATATCTAATCTGTCCTGGTGAGGTGGGTCATATCTAATATGTCCTGGTGGAGGTGGGTCATATCTAATCTGTCCTGGTGAGGTGGGTCATATCTAATCTGTCCTGGTGGAGGTGGGTCATATCTAATCTGTCCTGGTGAGGTGGGTCATATCTAATCTGTCCTGGTGGAGGTGGGTCATATCTAATCTGTCCTGGTGAGGTGGGTCATATCTAATCTGTCCTGGTGAGGTGGGTCATATCTAATCTGTCCTGGTGGAGGTGGGTCATATCTAATCTGTCCTGGTGGAGGTGGGTCATATCTAGTCTGTCCTGGTGAGGTGGGTCATATCTAATCTGTCCTGGTGAGGTGGGTCATATCTAATCTGTCCTGGTGAGGTGGGTCATATCTAATCTGTCCTGGTGAGGTGGGTCATATCTAATCTGTCCTGGTGAGGTGGGTCATATCTAATCTGTCCTGGTGAGGTGGGTCATATCTAATCTGTCCTGGTGAGGTGGGTCATATCTAATCTGTCCTGGTGAGGTGGGTCATATCTAATCTGTCCTGGATGAGGTGGGTCATATCTAATCTGTCCTGGAGAGGTGGGTCATATCTAATCTGTCCTGGTGAGGTGGGTCATATCTAATCTGTCCTGGTGAGGTGGGTCATATCTAATCTGTCCTGGTGAGGTGGGTCATATCTAATCTGTCCTGGAGAGGTGGGTCATATCTAATCTGTCCTGGTGAGGTGGGTCATATCTAATCTCTGTCCTTTGGTGAGGTGGGTCATATCTAATCTGTCCTGGTGAGGTGGGTCATATCTATTGTCCTGGTGGAGGTGGGGTGGGTCATATCTAACTGTCCGGTGTTGTGGGTCATATCTAATCTGAGTCCGGGTGGAGGTGGGTCATATCTATCTTTCCTGGTGGAGGTGGGTCCATATCTCTCTGGTCCTGGTGAGGTGGGTCTATCTAATCTGTCCTGGTGCGTGGTCATATCTATTCTGTCCTGGTGGAGGGTGGTCATATCTATCTGTCTGGTGAGGTGGTGTAGCTTCATACCTGAACGGGGGGGGGGGGGGGGTGTTCAGGCATTCCTCCGTAGTGTGTCGTTAGTGTGGCCCGGCTGTCTTCCTTCCTGGTTCTAAACTCTGCCTTCTGCAGGATGTCGATCAGCACAGGGAAGATGTTGGCATCGATCACCGTCTAGTAGAGGAGAGGAGGAATGAGAGAGGAGGAGAGGAAGAACATAGAAAAGTATGAGTAGTTAGATAGAAAGATGACAGCTAACTAACTAAACTAAACTAGAGAGCGGCACAAACCTGATTTCCTTTATTCAAACTAAAGACTAAGAGAATACCTAATACCTAGGTCTTGGAATATTTCTTTGGATCTGTATAGTGGTCTGAACTGTACCAGTCTGTGTTATGCATCTGTAACTGTGGAGTACGGTGGCTGTATGTGGACACCTGCTCGTTGGACATCTGTACAACGTGTCGTAGCTAGCTAGCTAACGTGCGTCTCTGAGAGTGTAATATTCTACAACCATGCTGCTACAGTAGGAATACAGACAGTACACGGTGATTTACCATGAATGTCTAATAGCGTTTACGTCATTCTCTTACAAAAGTACCTCTTGGTGGCGTAAACATTTATTTTTGGAGTTTGTTCTACGTTGGGAGAAGCTAGGCAGAGGACACCGAATCCCCTTGCCTGTGTGTGTTGTGGCAATTTATCCCCCACATAAGCAGTGGTGGAAACAGTACTAAATTACATACAAGTAAAAGATACGCTACATGGCCAAAGGTATGTGGACACCTGCTCATCGAACATCTCATTCTAAAATCATGGGCATTAATATGGAGTTGGTCCCGCCTTTGTTGCTATAACAGCCTCCACTCTTCTGGGAAGGCTTTCCACTAGATGTTGGAACATTGCTGCAGGGGACTTGCTTCCATTCAGCCACAAGAGCATTAGTGAGGTCGGGGCACTGACGTTGGGCGATTAGGCCTGGCTTGCAGCCGGCGTTCCAATTCATCCCAAAAGGTGTGATGGGGTTGAGGTCAGGGCTCTGTGCAGGCCAGTAAAGTTCTTCCACACCGATCGACAAACCATTTCTGTATGGACCTCGCTTTGTGCACGGGGGCATTGTCATGCTGAAACAGGAAAGGGCCTTCTTAAAACTGTTGCCAAAGTTGGAAGCACAGAATCATCTAGAATGTCCTTGTATGCTGTAGCGTTAAGATTTCCCCTTCACTGGAACTAAGGGGCATAGCCCGAACCATGAAAAACAGCCCCAGACCATTATTCCTCCTCCACCAAACCTTACTGTTGGCGCTATGCATTCGGGCAGGTAGCGTTCTCCTGGCATCTGCCAAACCCAGATTCGTCCTTCGGACTGCCAGATGGTGAAGCGTGATTCATCACACCAGAGAACGCGTTTCCACTGCTCAATGGAGTCCAATGGCGGCGAGCTTTACACCACTCCAGCCGACGCTTGGCATTGCGCATGGTGATCTTAGGCTTGTGTGCGGCTGCTCAGCCATGGAAACCCATTTCATGAAGCTCCCAACGAACAGTTCTTGTGCTGGATGCTGCTTCCAGAGGCAGTTTGGCAACTCAATAGTGAGTGTTGCAACCGAGGACAGACGATTTTTACGCGCTATGCGCTTCAGCACTTGGCGGTCCCGCTCTGTGAGCTTGTGTGGCCTACCACTTCGCGGCTGAGCATTGTTGCTCCTAGACATTTCCACTTCACAATAACAGCACTTACAGTTGATCGGGAGCAGCTCTAGGAGAGGAGAAATGTTACGAAATGACTTGTTGGAAAGGTGGCATCCTATGACGGTGCCACTTTGAAAGTCACTGAGCTCTTCAGCAAGGCCATTCTACTGTCAATGTTTGTCTTTGGAGATTGCATGGCTGTGTGCTCGATTTTATACACCTGTCAGCAACGGGTGTGTCTGAAATAGACGAATCCACTCATTTGAAGGGTTGTCCACATATCATGAACATCTCTGTGTATCTGTGTGGTACCTGTAGTGTCTGTATGCCTGAGTAATGTCTGGACCTCACCTGTATCTGAGCCCTGTTGCCAGCTGTGATGTTGGAGACGGTCCAGCAGGCTTCTTTACGGATGGACTCTTTAGCACTACTCAGGAGGTGGAGCAGACAGGGAAGGGCTGAACAGTTCAACACCACCTGTGTCTGGATGTCGTCACCAGTAACGATGTTCCCCACTGCCCTCAGAGCAGGAGACGCCACCTTGTAGTCTGTGTGCCTGACAGAGAGAAAACACATTCAAAGTTACTACCGCTGAGCCCCCTGAAGTGGAGGTGGCTGCAGTCACACACACACACACACTGACATGAGCAGTTCTACGAGGCGCCTGCAGACGCCGGAGTCGATGACAGCCTGGATCTTCTCGTTGGGTCCATCGGAGAGGTAGGACAGGGCCCAGCAGGCGTCCGCTAACAGGTCTGGATCACTGCTGAACAACAGTCTAGAGAGGACCTGCAGACAGGGAGACACCTGGGGGGACAGAGGACAGACAGGGGGACAGTTAGTGTCTTCTATCAGAGATGTAGGACAGGGGCCCAGCAGGCGTCCGCTAACAGGTCTGGATCACTGCTGAACAACAGTCTAGAGAGGACCTGCAGACATGGAGACACCTGGGGGGACAGAGGACAGACAGGGGGACAGTCGACTTATGACCTGGAGGCCAGACGGGGACAGTCTAGCCTATTGACCTGGGGGACTGGGAATTAGATTTTTTTGACTGACATTATGGATTGTCTGTTTCATATCTGCAAAGTAGTTAAAACGATGTCAGTTCCACTTTAAAGGCAAGGGCTGTTTCCTAATTACCTCACTCCACTTCCTGCCTCCACCACATTGTTCTCAACACCAATGTGCTTGTTAACTTCACTATTATGCACATAGTAACATGGTCTAGGGAAAGGCACCAATTCAATGGCGCACTGAAGATTATGTTTCAGAACAGCGGACAGTGACCGCTATCCAACGCGGGACAAAGCCATGGTTATAAAATATAATTTTTATTAGTGTTATTAGTTAATATAATAATATACATTTTCAGTGGCACATCTTAAGAGTGATGGATTGTTTCATCCCGTGAATCAGTGTTTTATACAACTGCTTAAAAAAATATATATAATCTCAGTCGACCGAACAATCGACCAGTCGACTAAGTGTCATCTTCAAGAAATGTCCTCTTGAATCACTGAGATTAGGATCTGTCCTTATCTATTTCATAACTATGTTTTTTGATCAGATTTTATGCATTTTACCAACATTTTCTAAATTCTCACTACGCAACATTTTTCAAAGTCCATAAAGGTAAAACAAATCAATATTTCTAATAGTTTTATAACATTGCTAATGAAAAGGCCGGAGTTAAACATAACACTGAAAATAAAATATTTCAAATGAAATCATACAATTATTATGAAAATAAAATGATCACTTTTCCGCAATTTTAGCTCTTTAGCCGTTTCAGTATTGAGAAGGCCAAGTGGGGTAAATGGGGTGTTGGAGAACAAGAACCTCATTCAGAAGACATAAGCGAATAAATTAACTTGTGCTCATCTAAGGACTACTTCTCTAGATGATGCATCATGGGTGACTATTTAAAAACTGATTTGGAGTTTTTAACAGGAACTTGAAAAGAAATGTTACGGTAATGAGACATGTTCACTGACATAATAAATATTATAGTTTCATGTAAACTTCAACTAACATACCATTTTTATGATTTATGGACAAACTACAGCACCATATCTTTAGTGTTTTATTCAAATAAGTTAGGTTTTTCAACAAAAAAATCCTAATTAAAATGACTGGAGAATTTAACCGGACGCATTTCGGTAATGAGAATTTGGGGTGAAAATATGCAAAATGCAGGCAAAAATTTAAAAATGTATTTAAAATAAGACACTATCCCAAAAACGAAAACATCTTAGTCCTCCGAATGATAGTTGATTTTGCTGCAGACATTTTAAAACTGGTTTCATGAGAATCACCCGAAAATATCCATCCTACCTTAGAAGCACATCTCTTTTACTAGGCTATTTACCCCTTTTTAAAGTTTTTCTTGTGCCATACAAATGTGTGCATAGCCTATTGGTCAAGTTACTAGGTTATTCGCTAGCTAGGTACCATGACTAAACAAGGTCATTTGTTATCAAACCAAAAACAAGGGTCCCGCTAGTAGTTTAAAAAAAGTGGTTTATGACATGTAATATGCGGGTGAATGGACGGTAGAATGGGGAAAGGGAAGCTTCAGTAATATGGGCCATGGTGTGGGCTAGAGACTGTGACGGTGATTGAATAACCGTGTAACTGACGGTCATGGATGAAGACCGTGATGAAAATCAAATTACGGTCTAAACCGCTTAAATACATTCACTTTACCGACAGTGCCTTCGGAAAGTATTCAGACCCCTTGAATATTTCCACATTGTTTACGTTACAGCCTTATTGTAAAATGGATTAAAAAAAGAAAACATCCTCAATCTACACACAAACACCCCATAATGACGAAGCAAAAACAGTTTAGACAAGTCTTGGCCGTAAAAAAATAAACTGAAATATCACATTTACATAAGTATTCAGACCCTTTACTCAGTACTTTGTTGAAGCACCTTTGGCAGCGATTACAGCCTTGAGTCTTCTTGGGTATGACGCTAAAAGCTTGACACACCTGTATTTGGGGAGTTCCTCCCATTCTTCTCTGCAGATCCTCTCAAGCTCTGTCAGTTTGGATGGTCAGCTTCGCTGCACAGCTATTTTCAGGTCTCTCCAGAGATGTTAGATCGGGTTCAAGTCCGGGCTCTGGCTGGGCCACTCAAGGACATTCAGAGACTTGTCCCAAAGCCACTCCTGCATTGTCTTGGCTGTGTGCTAAGTGTCGTTGTCCTGTTGGAAGGTGAACCTTTGCCCCAGTCTGAGGTCCTGAGCACTCTGGAGCAGGTTTTCATCAAGGATCTCGCTGTACTTTGCTCCGTTCATCTTTCCCTCGATCCTGACTAGTCTCCCAGTCCCTGCCGTCGAAAAACATCCCCACTGCATAATGTTGCCACCACCATGCTTCACCGTAGGGATGGTGCCAGGTTTCCTCCAGACGTGACACTTGGCATTCAGGCCAAAGAGTTCAATCTTGGTTTCATCAGACCAGAGAATCTTGTTTCTCATGGTCTGAGAGTCCTTTAGGTGCCTTTTGGCAAACTCCAAGTGGGCTGTCATGTGCCTTTTACTGAGGAGTGGCTTCCATCTGGCCACTCTACCATAAAGGCCTGATTGGTGGAGTGCTGCAGAGATGGTTGTCCTTCTGGAAGGTTCTCCCATCACCACAGAGGAACTCTAGAGCACTGTCAGAGTGACCATCGGGTTCTTGGTCACCTCCCTGACCAAGGCCCTTCTCTCCCCGATTGCTCAGTTTGGCCAGGTGGCCAGCTCTAGGAAGAGTCTTGGTGGTTCCAAACTTCTTCCATTCAAGAATGATGGAGGCCACTGTGTTCTTGGGGACCTTCAATGCTGCAGATTTTTTTTTGTACCCTTCCCCAGATCTGTGCCTCGACACAATCCTGTCTCGGAGCTCTACGGACAATTCCTTCGACCTCATTGCTTGGTTTTTGCTCTGACATGCACTGTCAACTGTGGGACCTTATATAGACAGGTGTGTGCCTTTCCAAATCATGTCCGATCAATATAATTTAGAAAAAATCTCAAATCTACACACAATACCCCATAATATATGATATCAATTTTAGAAGAAGGCTGTAACATAACAAAATGCGGAAAAAGGGAAGGGGTCTGAATACTTTCCAACAGCAGGAGTCTTTACTAATGATTATAAGGAATTGTTTTGCTAACTTTGTCTGTACATTAAACTTTCTACATCTCCTCTTTCCAACTGTCCTTTGACGCTTGAGGAGCTAACCTGCTAGATGCGCTGGGGGTGTAAAACGCTAATGGCACTTCAGTAAAAAATTGACTATAATGGGCTAATGTTGTGTCAGATGGACAATGGGCCAATCCTCTTCAACCTGGCATGGTATAATTTTATACGGAATATTTTGTTAATTTATAGACTAATCAACGCTGATCAGCCCCGGTCCTGGCCGATATGCCGCCCTTGGAGAGACCCCCCCCCCCCAAAAAAAAAATGGCCACCCTCCTATCCCTGTAAAGGAGAATAGTAGCCATACAGTGTCGACCCACAATGCACTTTTAATGAATGCCCATGTGGTAGCCTACCGTTCGCAAAACAGGCAATTTACCGTTAATCCCTGTCATTTGGTTACATTAATTTCTGTTAACCCCCTAGAATCGATGTCAGCGCCCCCGCAGAAATCGAATTAGCATAAATATCCATAAAGATCTGTCAGTTTAAGCTAGAGATATGTTTTTTTTTGCAATGGATGTGTCTCAATCCACCGCATCCGCTGATGTCGCACTTCTGCATCTGCGGTGAAACGTGACAGAGCTAGAGCGGTGTTTGTCAGACCATGACATCAAGAAAATCGGTCTACTCACAAAATCGTCTGTAGCGTCCGAACGGTTTGGCCTACAAACTATACTGAACAAAAATATAAATGCAACAATTTGAAAGTTTTTACTGAGTTATAGTTCATATAAGTAAATAAATCAATTGAAATAAATGAATTAGGCCCTAATGTATGGATTTCACATAACTGGGCAGGGGTTCAGCCACTGGGGAGTCAAGCCCAGCCAATCTGAATGAGTTTTTCCCCACAAAAGGGCTTTATTACAGACAGAAACACTCCTGTTTCATCAGCTGTCCGGGTGGCTAGTCTCAGACGATACCGCAGGTGAAGAAGCCGGATGTGGAGGTCCTGGGCTGGCGTGGTTACACGTGGCCTGAGGTTGTGAGGCCGGTTGGAAGTACTGCCAAACTCTCTAAAACAACATTGGAGGCGGCTTATGGTAGAGAAATGAACATTCAATTCTCGGGCAAAAACTCTGGTGGACATTCCTGCAGTCAGCATGCCAATTGCATGCTCCCTCAAAAACTTGAGACATCTGTAGCATTGTGTTGTGTGACAAAACTGCACATTTTAGATTGGCCTTTTATTGTCCCCAGCACAAGGGTGCACCTGTGTAATGATCATGCTGTTTAATCAGCTTCTTGATATGCCACACCTGTCAGGTGGATGGATTATCTTGGCAAAGGAGAAATGCTCACTAACAAATATGTAAACAAATGTGTGCACAAAATGAGAGAAATAAGCTTTTTGTGCATCTGGAAAATTTGCAATTTTTTTATTTCAGCTCATGAAACATGGGACCAAAACTTTACATGTTGCGTTTATATTTTTGTTCAGTGTATTATGACCCTCTATGGAACACAATGGTGTTCTCCATGTTGCTCTACGACCCCCACAAGCGTCTTGGGACTTGGGACTAAGAGCGTTGTGCCAGTAACCGAAAGGCCGCTGGTTCTAATCCCTGAGCAGACTAGGTGAAAAATCTGTCGATGTGCCCTTAAGCAAGGCACTTAACCTTAATTGCTCCTGTAAGTCGCTCTGGATAAGAGCTAAATGACGTGAGTGAGTGAGTAAGTCGGTTCTCCCGACTTCTGTCTGTAGGATCTGAACATTTTGGGCTACACACTTTTAACATTTATTTTTATTTGTATTTTTTACATCCATTGAAATTATAGTAGTTCCTCACAGTATTTTAAAAATCTTTCCAACATCCTCCTCCTCGATAATCAGCGTGGCTGATAAATAGGCTATGGACATGTTGCATGTATTTGTTTCCATTTAATAATAATCGTCACATTTCATCGTCATACTACAGCGTAGCTGTCCACTTCATAACTTTCCTTGTCAATTCATGATCTTCTAGCCTACTTTCAAAAGCCAAAAGGTAGGCTTAGGTTTTAAAAAAAATGTTTTAAGGAAAGGATAAATATTTGCTTGCGTCTGACATATACGCTGGTGGCTTTGATTGACGGATGCTTTTACAGGGGTGTGCGTGAGTTCGCTGATTCCCTCTATAGGCCTATATGTCCGTTCAGAAGGTTCCCTGTAGCCTCTCTCTGGATTCTCTCTCTTTAATAAAATCAAACGCTCCTGTCATTATTGAATCTTGTAAAAAGGCCTATTTTCAGTAGCTTAGGCTACATTATTTCTCTAAATTACGGTGTCCTCTCTTTGAAGATCATAGGTCAATGCCACTGCAATCGAATGACCGCAGCAGCAGGGTTTGTGACGTTATGTGAATATTTTGGGAAAAGTGGGAGAAAACCCATCATACATCATTAAAATTATTTTGTGCATCTAAATAGGATCTGTATAAAAAATATATATATGTATATGCAGAAAAGCCAACCAAGGACAAGGTAGACGTATATCTTTATTCTGACTCCATTAATGCTGTGTAAATGCGACAGATCCTTTCCAACTTGGAAGTATTAATCAACAAATGAAGAAATGCCAAGTAATAACCCTGAATAATAATGAAATGCCATGATAATAACAAAGTGTAAATGGCATGTTTCAAATGGGCTTTATTAAGAAGCATATCCATTTAAACAAGTGTACAAACAGAAATGTGACCTCCCCTCACACTCTGAACTCTGACATTCTCATTCTGATATGACGTTTCTGACATCACGCTGTGAACTGTGACATTCTCATTCTGATATGACATCACGCTGTGAACTCTGACATTCTCATTCTGATATGACATCACGCTGTGAACTCTGACATTCTCATTCTGATATGACATCACACTGTGAACTCTGACATTCTCATTCTGATATGACCTATCTGACATCACGCTGTGAACTCTGACATTCTCATTCTGATATGACGTTTCTGACATCACGCTGTGAACTCTTGTTTGATGTTCTCTTTGTAGAATGCATTCTGTGCTAAGTCAATGATTTCGATACGAGGAAAGCGATACTCGAACATCTCTCCTTTAGCACTACTGATAGGGCCGAATGCCATGCCCTCTCTGACCCTATAACGTCCCATTACTGTTACCGTAAGGGAAAGGTGACAGGCAAGGGAACCATCTAAGTGTATTCTCACCCTGAGTGAATCTGAAATAGTAAAAAAAATGCCTTCCTGTCCCTGTAACATTAATGACAGTAGAGAAACAGAGCTGAAGAGAGGGATAACACTTTAGACTATTGAGAGATTTACAGGGTGAGAGAAACTCCTGCCTCGTCACATACCATCCCCTGGTCACATGCTCAGTCTCTGAGTCACTGGGGCTTTTATGTTCTGGCTGGCCAGAGTCACTAGCAGATTAAACCATCAGCTAGCTAGCTAACAGCCGGGCATAACACGGCACCCAAATTGAGTCAAATGGCACCTCATTCCCTACATAGTGCACTAGCTGTGATCAGGGCCCCATAGGCGTCTGGATGTCAAAAGCCTGACTTCATCTAGCTAGCGGTTACGGTTTAGATTCAGAACTCAATGAACGACTGGTTTCAACTCCCAAGTTGTGAACCTCCTTATTTATTTGAGCTAGCGGTTACGGTTTAGATTCAAGGAGCTGTGAATGTAGCAGCATACACACTAAACAGGAGAAAGGAGAGTGGTTGTGGTTATGGGAGCACACACCAAACAAGAGGGATTCATATTACTAAGCTGACATATGGAATTGTTTTAAGATGGTCATAACATGGATCATTTAGCTATTTTATATAGAATTTTAGGACCCCTTTAGATGTAAAAAAAAAAAAAAACTGCCCCCCCCAAAAAAAGCCAAAATTAAATAATAAGGAATAAGGTCTCTGTCCTTTATCTAGGAGACATAAGAAGGATCAGGAAATATTCAATTTTTTTTACACATATTTAACCCCTTTTTTTGGGTAGAGGCACAAAACTACTCCATAATTCCATTCATTTTTTAAACCGTACCGGTTACCATCAGACGAGTCCCGTGACACTTGTGGGGGTCGTAGAGCAGAACGGAAAACACAATTGTGTTCGTGAGAGTCTCATCTTTCTACATTAGTTTGTAGCGATTCGGACAGCGTCTCAGAGATCTGGAGCCATATTCTGGAGCCATATTCATACAGCATCTCAGAGATCTGGGGCCATATTCATACAGCATCTCAGAGATCTGGGGCCATATTCATACAGCGGCTCAGAGATCTGGGGCCATATTCATACAGCGGCTCAGAGATCTGGAGCCATATTCATACAGCGGCTCAGAGATCTGGAGCCATATTCATACAGCGTCTCAGAGATCTGGAGCCATATTCATACAGCGGCTCAGAGATCTGGAGCCATATTCTGGAGCCATATTCATACAGCGGCTCAGAGATCTGGAGCCATATTCTGGAGCCATATTCATACAGTGTCTCAGAGATCTGGAGCCATATTCATACAGCGTCTCAGAGATCTGGAGCCATATTCTGGAGCCATATTCATACAGCGGCTCAGAGATCTGGAGCCATATTCATACAGTGTCTCAGAGATCTGGAGCCATATTCATACAGCATCTCAGAGATCTGGAGCCATATTCTGGAGCCATATTCATACAGCGTCTCAGAGATCTGGAGCCATATTCATACAGCGTCTCAGAGATCTGGAGCCATATTCATACAGCGTCTCAGAGATCTGGAGCCATATTCATACAGCGTCTCAGAGATCTGGAGCCATATTCATACAGCGTCTCAGAGATCTGGAGCCATATTCATACAGAGTCTCAGAGATCTGGAGCCATATTCTGGAGCCATATTCATACAGTGTCTCATAGATCTGGAGCCATATTCATACAGCGTCTCAGAGATCTGGAGCCATATTCATACAGCGTCTCAGAGATCTGGAGCCATATTCTGGAGCCATATTCATACAGCGTCTCAGAGATCTGGAGCCATATTCATACGCGTCTCAGAGATCTGGAGCCATATTCAATTACAGTCGTCTCAGAGATCTGGAGCCATATTCATACAGGTCTCAGAGATCTGGAGCCATATTCATACAGGCTCAAGATCTGAGCCATATTCATACAGCGTCTCAGAGATCTGGAGCCAATCTGAGCCATATTCATACAGCGTCTCAGAGATCTGGAGCCATATTCATACACGTCTCAAGATCTGGAGCCATATTCATACAGCGTCTCAGAGATCTGGAGCATATCATACAGGTCTCAGAGATCTGGAGCCATATTCATACAGCGTCTCAGAGATCTGGAGCCATATTCATACAGCGTCTCAGAGATCTGGAGCCATATTCATACAGTCTCAGAGATCTGAGCCATTGGAGCCATTCATACAGTATCTGGAGCCATATTCATACAGCAGCTCAGAGATCTGGAGCCATATTCTGGAGCCATATTCATACAGCGGCTCAGAGATCTGGAACCATATTCATACAGCGTCTCACAGATCTGGAGCCATATTCATACAGCGTCTCACAGATCTGGAGCCATATTCATACAGTGTCTCAGAGATCTGGAGCCATATTCATACAGCGGCTCAGAGATCTGGAGCCATATTCATACAGTGTCTCATAGTAGGAGAGCTGATGTGGGATCAGGTCTCCCCTGTCCGTGTAATCTGATTAATTACGATCTAAATGGCAACACTGATCTCAGATCAGCACATGCTAAATGAATATGGGGTTTGTGTCTTACCTTCTCAAATACAGGTGGGGGGCTCTTCCCCCTGCACAGGTTGGACAGAGCCCACACTGCATTCCTAGTCATGGTCAGTCTGGTGGATTTGGTCAGAAGCCTGGAGAGAGGAACAGGGGAGAGGAGCCATGAGCGAACGTCTTATGTGGAGTAGTAGATATCAGAGGACACAAGACTTTCAACTCTGCTTTCACTGATACTTCCAACAAAAACAGTAGTGTGTGATTGTGTACTCGCATTAATAGTGGTGGTAGGATATTACAGTTGAGTACGTAGTCTCTGCACACTGGACTGTCCCCTGCTATGTTACCCAAAGCCCACACCGCCTGAGAGAGGAGGAGAGAGAGAGAGAGAGAGAAAGGAGAGGGAGAAAGAAAGGAGAGAAGAGAGGGGAGGGGAGAGAGAGGGAGAGAAAGGAGAGAGGAGGAGAGAGAGAGAAAGAAAGGAGAGAAGAGAGGGGAGAGAGAGAGAGAGAGAGAGAGAGAGAAGAGAGGGGAGAGAGAGAGCGCAAAACTAGGTAGAAATGAAAGACAGTCTTGTAATCCATTTTTCCATGCCTGTTTAGATGTAGTGTTGGCCTTACCTGTTCCTGAACATCTTCAAAGTCAGAGTTGAGTAGTTCTATGAAGATGGGTACTGCTCCCGCCTCGATTACTATGTTAGTCTGCATGGACGTACCTGACGCTATGTTGGTCAGCGCCCACGCCGCCTCAAACTACACAGACAGAGACTTTATTAATGACACACTGATATTGATAATAAAACTCGATTATACAAAAACATACAATGACAGAAATGTTATTGTGACTGCAATAATTGCCAAAGATATCCACAATGAATTACTAGCTACTCAAGACTGAACATCCTCCAGTTTTCCAGTCTGGGTTAACTTTTATATTAAGGTCTCACCTGTAATGTGCAGTTGACGCTCCTCTTCAGGAACTCTACCAACCTCTCTACAATGCCTGGGGTGTTGATGACCTCGTCAATAGGTGGATTGGGTTCTGGAACAAGATCAGACACAGAATATATGAGAAAGTGTCTAACAATTAGCACCATGGACTCACAACCTTCACCACCCTAGAGGGAGGTAGCTTAATCAGCTGTGTTAGTGCCGGGCTGGGCTTGGAGCAACAGCCTGTACACCCTGAGGGTCCCCAGGACCAGGAGGGACAACACCCTGAGGGTCCCCAGGACCAGGAGAGACAACACCCTGAGGGTCCCCAGGACCAGCAACACCCTGAGGGTCCCCAGGACCAGCAACACCCTGAGGGTCCCCAGGACCAGAAACACCCTGAGGATCCCCAGGACCAGAAACACCCTGAGGGTCCCCAGGACCAGGAGGGACAACACCCTGAGGGTCCCCAGGACCAGGAGAGACAACACCCTGAGGGTCCCCAGGACCAGGAGGGACAACACCCTGAGGGTCCCCAGGACCAGGAGAGACAACACCCTGAGGGTCCCCAGGACCAGCAACACCCTGAGGATCCCCAGGACCAGGCGTGACAACACCCTGAGGGTCCCCAGGACCAGGAGGGACAACACCCTGAGGGTTCCCAGGACCAGGCGTGACAACACCCTGAGGGTCCCCAGGACCAGCAACACCCTGAGGGTCCCCAGGACCAGCAACACCCTGAGGGTCCCCAGGACCAGGCGTGACAACACCCTGAGGGTCCCCAGGACCAGGAGGGACAACACCCTGAGGGTTCCCAGGACCAGGCGTGACAACACCCTGAGGGTCCCCAGGACCAGGAGGGACAACACCCTGAGGGTTCCCAGGAACAGGAGAGACAACACCCTGAGGGTCCCCAGGACCAGCAACACCCTGAGGGTCCCCAGGACCAGCAACACCCTGAGGGTCCCCAGGACCAGGCGTGACAACACCCTGAGGGTCCCCAGGACCAGGAGGGACAACACCATGAGGGTCCCCAGGACCAGGAGGGACAACACCCTGAGGGTTCCCAGGACCAGGCGTGACAACACCCTGAGGGTCCCCAGGACCAGCAACACCCCCAGGACCAGCAACACCCCCAGGACCAGCAACACCCTGAGGGTCCCCAGGACCAGCAACACCCTGAGGGTCCCCAGGACCAGGAGAGACAACACCCTGAGGGTCCCCAGGACCAGCAACACCCTGAGGGTCCCCAGGACCAGCAACACCCTGAGGGTCCCCAGGACCAGGAGGGACAACACCCTGAGGGTCCCCAGGACCAGCAACACCCTGAGGGTCCCCAGGACCAGGAGAGACAACAGTGAGTGAAGAGCACGGCTAATACACAGACAGGCTACAGAATAACCTGATGATATTCACTGAACAGCCTGGTACCTTTGGACAGTAGTTTCCTGAACGTCTGTGTTGTGGTGAGTTGGAGCTCTGGGTCCTCTGAGAAGAGCATCTCCACCAGGTCTTTAGTCAGGACTCCTTCCTCTGTGGCTGTGGAGGTGACGTATGAGTCGACCAGTGGACTCTCAAACATGACTCCCTCCTCGTTCAACATGTCAACGTTTCTCCTCTTGAAGAGCTGCCAAGTACAGGAGAGAAACAGCACAGCAGTGTGTGTGTGTGTGTGTGTGTGTGTGTGTGGTGTGTGTGTGTGTGTGTGTGTGTGTTTTATAGGTGCTACATTAATGTTGCTCTAGTTTCGGCTTCCTGAGCTAGGTGCCCTTCTACCTCCTGTTTAGACACCAGCAGTGGGGCTAGCCGTGCTAGGTGCTATACAGGTGGGTTATGCTCCGTACCTCCTCTCTCCTGTTTAGACACCAGCAGTGGGGCTAGCTGTGCTAGGTGCTATCAGTGTGGGTTCTGCTCTGTATCTCCTCTCTCCCTGTTTAGACACCCGCAGTGGGGCTAGCCGGTTGCTAGGTGCTATACAGGTGGGTTTATCTCTGTTCTTTCCCCTCTCTGTTTAGACCACTACCAGCAGTGGGGCTAGCTGTGCTAGGTGCTATACAGGTGGGGTTATGCTCTGTATTCCTCTCTCTGTTAAGGACACCACGTGGGGCTAGCTGTGCTAGGTGCTATACAGGTGGGTTATGCTCTGTATCTCCTCTCTCCTGTTTAGACACCAGCAGTGGGGCTAGCTGTGCTAGGTGCTATACAGGTGGGTTATGCTCTGTATCTCCTCTCTCCTGTTTAGACACCAGCAGTGGGGCTAGCCGTGCTAGGTGCTATACAGGTGGGTTATGCTCTGTACCTGTTGCTCCCGTTTCTGCTTCCTAAGCTGGATTCCTTCCTCCTCTCTCCTGCGCCTCATCTCCTCCACATTCAGGGCTTTGTTCTTGTAGCTGTTCATCCTGTGGTTATCCTTCGCTGGACTGGCTGACGGCTCTGAAACGAGACACGTTAGACCATCTTTATTACAACCATTTCTACTAATCCAACCTCACACAGTACTTTTTTTTACTAAGTTTGTCATAGAACGGTTCTTCCTTTTAACAAAATGAAGTCTAGCAACAGCCGCCAGGAAAATCACTGCCAAGAGAAGGAACACATTTTCCAAGGAACCAGACTCTTCCAGGGAAGTCAATGCGAGTGTGTGTGTGTGTGTGTGTGTGTGTGTGTGCGTGTGTGTGTGTACGTGTGTGTGTGTACGTGTGTGTGTGTGTGTGTGTGTGTGTGTGCGTGTGTGTGCGTGCGTGTGTGTGTGTGTGCGTGGTGATGACACAGGGGTACATGAGCCCAGTATAAACAAGCTCCCGGACACATGGTTAAAAATACACTGGAGCATATGCTGTGCTGTACACACACACACACACACACACACACACACACACACACACGTACACACACACACACACACGTACACACACACACATGTACACACACACACACACACACACACACACACACGAGATATGCAAACACACAGGCTTACATGTAGCCTGAGTTACTGTCTCTCTGACTATCCACTCACAAACCTAACAAACACACAGCAAAAACACACGCACACAGACAAACACACGCGCACACACACACACACACACACACACACGCACGCAGATCACAGACAAAGCTCTACCAGCAGTCACTGTAGACAACACATCACAAGTTAAGCGATTACAGAACGCACCCACACCGACAGAAACTGCAACTACATTTGTACATCATGACAGAACACCAGCTGCACTGACCCAGTCACCAAACCAGCCAGACTGGCAGCAGACCAGTCCACCAGAACAGCCAGCTGGACAGCAGACCCGATCACCAGAACCAGCCAGGTGGCAGCTGGATCGAGTGTGTCCAGATTGGACCAGTGACCGACTGGGCACGCAGTGACCGAGGTCATCCAGAACCAGCCAACTGGGCAGCTGACCGAGTCACCAGAACACAGCCAGCCACATGCCAGTCACACCGAGACCACAGTCAACCAAACCAGTCCAACACAGGCTGGGCAGCCTAGACCCGAGTCACACAGAAACCACCAGGAACAATGGAGCATGACCCGAGTCCACCAAACCACCAGACTGGGCACCTGAGATCCACGGAGATACCACACCAGAACCAGCAGACTGCAGAGACGCAGACCGAGTCACCAGAACCAGCCAGACTGGGCAGCAGACCCGAGTCACCAGAACCAGCCAGACTTGGTGTGTGTGTGTGATCGTGAGGTGTCCAGATTGTAATGCCACAGGTTGTGGATGGAAGCCCTGATTTTCCTGGGCCCTCTATCTGATACAGCAGTGTGAGGAGGAGTGGATGGAAGCCCTGATTTTCCTGGGCCCTCTATCTGATACAGCAGTGTGAGGAGGAGTGGATGGAAGCCCTGATTTTCCTGGGCCCTCTATCTGATACAGCAGTGTGAGGAGGAGTGGATGGAAGCCCTGATTTTCCTGGGCCCTCTATCTGATACAGCAGTGTGAGGAGGAGTGGATGGAAGCCCTGATTTTCCTGGGCCCTCTATCTGATACAGCAGTGTGAGGAGGAGTGAGGCTTTAGAGATCATTATAAACCAAATAAGGAAACACTTTCTCCCAATAAAACAGAAGAGGATTGTAGCTGAGTCCACACTAGCCTAGACACTTTGGGACACCAATTTGGTTTGGGCCAGGGGCATTGTAAGCATTTAGGCAACCTAACCAACACAGTTATGTTGGGCGAGTCCTGATGTGAATGCTCCTGTTTTGGCAATGGCCCTCACAGACAGACAGAATGGGCAACCCTCCTATGCAACAAAGTAGGATGATGATGATGCCCCTAGACACTGATCTATGGTCATTTCGGCGCTTAAATCAGCGTTCACTCCAAATGGTTAAGGTTAGTTGGAGGGAATTAAGCTGATCCTAGATCTGTGCCTATGGAGGAATTTCTACCTGGAGCTAGCAGATTCAGAAAGACTGAGGAGTGAGAGGGCTGCGAATTTGAAGAACTGTCAGTAATGCAGTCTGATTTACCCAGAACACACACACACACACACACACACACACACACCATGAAGTGCTTGGAGAGGGTCAAGGCCCACATCAAGGCCATCATGACAGGCTCACTGGACCCGCTCCAATGTGCCTTCCTCACAAACAGATCCAAAGATGATGCCATTTCCATCTCCATTCACACGTCCCCAACACATCTGGACAAGAGGAACACCTATGTGAGAATGCTGTTCATTGACTACAGTTCAGCGTTCCAACACTATTGTTCCCTTCAAGCTCAACACCAAGCTCAGAGTCCTGGGTCTGGACACCACCCTCTGCAACTGGATCCTGGACTTCCTGACGGGCAGACCATTTGCTGTGAGGATGGGGAAACAACACCTCCTCCACACTGACTCTTAACTCAGGGGCCCCCCAGGGGTGTGTCCTCAGTCCTCTGCTGTAGTCCCTGTTCACCCACGACTGTGTGGCTTTGCACGACACCAACTCCATCATCAAGTTTACTGACGGCACCACGGTTGTAGACCTGATAACCAACAACAATGAGTCAGCCTATAGGGAGGAGGTAAGTGAACTGGCATTGGTGGTGCCAGGACAACAACCTCTGCCTCAACGTCAGCAAAACAAAGGAGTTGATTGTTGACTTCAGGATGCAGGAGGGAACACGCTCTGATCCATATAAAAACGGGACTGCAGTAGAGAGAGTTAGCAGTTAAGTTCCTCAGCGTCCACATCCCTGAGGACTTCTCATGGACCACCAACACCACCACGCGTCAGGAGGGCGCAACAGCGTCTCTACTTCCTAAGGCGGCTGAAGAAATTCGGCATTCCACCCCGGGTCCTCTTCAAATATTACTGCTGCACCTTCGAGAGCATCCTGACCGGTTGCATCACGGCCTGGTCCACGACCACAGGGCCCTCCACCGTCAGTCAGACTGTGGTCGGAGCATGAGGTCTGATAGAAACTGTCTCTGAGCTTGTTTATATCTACAAGCCATCAGACCGCTGAACACTTGAACTGGACTGACCACCTGCACTAACTCTCCACACCTTAGCACACACGCCCACATCACAACTGCTGCAACCAGACTTATTTACTATTGCTAATACTGCACAATTTAAACACTTGCCACGCAAATCCCCTCTTCCCTGATACATATTGGACTGTACATTGTGCTTTCCTGTATTATACTGATGCTAAAATGTTAATTCAATTACACTGAGCCATTTACTTTAATGTTCGTATTCTTATATTTTATAATTTCTTATTGTTGTTGCATTGTCGAGAAGGAACCTGCAAGTAAGCATTTCACTGGACAGTGTATACCATGTGAACCCTGTACATACGACTAACAGAACATGAAACACACACACAGAAGGTGAATAAGCATGTTAATGTTGCTTAGCGAGCACAAACTAGTTCGGCCAGAGGTGAGCCACTCAACACAAGGGCAACGGTCTGATAATGACATTACATCTCACGCATGGCGAATCAAAATCACTCTTACAAGTGGAGAGAGAGTGAGAGAAAGGAGCGAGTGAGAGTTAGGTACACTACATGACCAAAAGTATGTGGACACCTGCTGAACATCTCATTCCAAAATAATGGGCATTAATATGAAGTTGGTCCCCCCCCCCCTTTGCTGCTATAACAGCCTCCACTCTTCTGGGAAGGCTTTCCACTAGATGTTGGAACATTGCTGCGGGGACTTGCTTTCCATTTAGCCACAAGAGCATTAGTGAGGTCGGGCACTGATGTTGGGTGATTAGGCCTGGCTCGCAGTCGGCGTTCCAATTGATCCCAAAGGTGTTAGATGAGGTTGAGGTCAGGGCTCTGTGCAGGCCAGTCAAGATCTTCCACACCGATCGACAAACCATTTCTGTATGGACCTCGCTTTGTGCACGGGAGCATTGTCATGCTGAAACAGGAAAGGGCCTTCCCCAAACTGTTGCCAAAGTTGGAAGCACAGAATGGTCTAGAATGTCATTGTATGCTGTAGCTTTAAGATTTCCCTTCACTGGAACTAAGGGGCCTAGCCCGAACCATGAAAAACAGCCACAGACCATTATTCCTCCTCCACCAAACGTTACAGTTGGCACCATGCATTGGGGCAGGTAGCGTTCTCCTGGCATCCGCCAAACCCATATTTGTCAGTCGGACTGCCAGATGGTGAAGCGTGATTCATCACTCCATACAACTTGTTTCCACTGCTCCAGAGTCCAATGGTGGCGAGCTTTACACCACACATCACACATGGTGATGTTAGGCTTGTGTGCGGCTGCTCGGCCATGGAAACGAACAGTTCTTGCGCTGACGTTGCTTCCAGAGGCAGTTTGGCACTCGGTAGTGAGTGTTGCAACTGAGGACAGACAATTTCTATGCGCTACGCGCTTCAGCACTCGGCGGTTCGGTTCTGTGAGCTTGTGTGGCCCACCACTTCGCGGCGGAGCCGGTGTTGTTCATAGACATTTCCACTTCACAATAACAGCACTTACAGTTGACCGGGGGCAGCTCTAGCAGGGCAGAAATTTGACGAAACTGACTTGTTGGAAAGGTGGCGTCCTGTGACGATGCCACGTTGAAAGTCACAGCTCTAAAGTAAGGCCATTCTACTGATACTGTTTGTCTGTGGAGATTGCATGGCTGTGTGCTCGATTTTATACACCTGTCAGCATTGGGTGTGGCTGAAATAGATGAATCCACTAAGTTGAAGAGGTGTCCACATACTTTGCATATACAGTACATTTGGAAAGTATTCAGACCACTTCACTTTTCCCACATTTTTTTAAACGTTATAGCCTTATTCTAAAATCGATTTAAAAATAAAACAATCTACACACAATACCCCATAATGACATAGCGAAAACAGGTTTTTAGAAAAGTATTATAAATAAAAAAACGTATTTACATAAGTATTCAAACCCTTTGCCATGAGACTCGAAATTGAGCTCAGGTGCATCCTGTTTCAATTGATCATCCTTGAGATGTTTCTACAACTTGATTGGAGTCCACCTGTGGTAAATTCAATTGATTGGACATGATTTGGAAAGGCACACATCTGTCTATATAAGGTCCCACAGTTGACAGTGCATGTCAGAGCAAAAACCAAGCCGTAAGGTCGAAGGAATAGTCCGTAGAGCTCCTAGACAGGATTGTGTTGAGGCACAGATCTGTGGAAGGGTACCAAAAATATTTCTGAAGCATTGAAGGTCCCCAACAACACAGTGGCCTCCATAATTCTTAAACGGAAGAAGTTTGGAACCACCAAGACTCTTTCTAGAGCTGGCCGCCCGGCCAAACTGAGCAATCGGGGGAGAAGGGCCTTGGTCAGGGAGGTGACCAAGAACCCGATGGTCACTCTGACGGAGCTCTAGAGTTCCTCTGTGGAGATGGGAGAACCTTCCAGAAGGACAACCATCTCTGCAGCACTCCACCAATCAGGCCTGTATGGTAGAGTGGCCAGACGGAAGCCACTCCTCAGTAAAAGGCACATGACAGCCCGCTTGGAGTTTGCCAAAAGGCACCTAAAGACTCTCAGACCATGAGAAACAAGATTCTCTGGTCTGATGAAACCAAGATTGAACTCTTTGGCCTGAATGCCAAGCGTCACGTCTGGAGGAAACCTGGCACCATCCCTACAGTGAAGCATGGTGGAGACAGCATCATGCTGTGGGGATGTTTTTCAGCGGCAGGGACTGGGAGACTAGTCAGGATCTAGGCAAAGATGAACAGAGCAAATTACAGAGAGATCCTTGATGAAAACCTGCTCCAGAGCGCTCAGGACCTCAGACTGGGGCAAAGGTTCACCTTCCAACAGGACAACGACTCTAAGCACACAGCCAAGACAACGCAGGAGTGACTTCGGGACAAGTCGCTGAATGTCCTTGAGTGGCCCAGCCAGAGTCCGGACTCAAGCCCTATCTAACATC